CTTTGTGGATGTATAGATATCAAAAAACCTGAATGGTTTTGTGGGAATATCATTCTAAGGTGCCATAATGGTTCTGATGAACGGCAAGTAAATGAGTGAATGTTTGGAAACGAGCAATATCTTTTGGTAAAGCCTGTCATCAAGTATGTGCTTAATGGCTATCTGCAAGAGGTTTATAGGAAAAAACACCCAGTATCACATACCAATTGAAGAAAATAATATAAACATGAATAAAAAATCAACAATAGTAATTAATACATGAATTCAATTCAAAAATCAAACATTTCTTAAAATTTTGACTGAATTATATGTATTTTCTTAATATTCAATAAGCTGGTGATGTTTCAATGACAAGTTGTCATCTCATACTTTGACAGTATTTTGTTTTCAACATTTCATAGCTATTGGTTGCTAAAATTTGTTGATTGGAACTTGAAGCTCATTCGCTGTATCTCACGGTCTGTTACCATATAGGTTGAGAATAACGGACTGTTGTTGGTGAAATTGGCCCTTAGGGCAGTGTACAGTGAATACAATTATTTTGTTATCTCTCTCATTTTTCGAATTCAGCAAATTTGCATGTTTAATTTACAGAATGCATAAGAAAACGTGGATGCGCAACTAATTTCTAGTGTATTTTTATTTGAGACAAGAATCCAAGGGAATTATCATCAACACATATTACAACTATTACAACATACAGCTTAGTCCTAGAGTAATGCCATCTCTGAAGCAGATCACACATCACATCAGAGCCAAACATTGATAATTGAAGCATCATGACGAGTTCACAAGTGTCCATCAGCCAGTGCTAAGTTAACATCTAGTAATAGAACCCACATAGTTTGACAAAAAAACAATACAATGTCAAAAAAAGTCGACACAATATCACTTTTCAAGATACGTAATACCCGTGCGGTGCACTTCAGAAATGTAGATATTGAGTGGGCGTGGTTCTATTACCTTTCGAGGAACTGTATTTCTGAACACTGGTGAAATAGATGATCCATATTGCTCCTTGAGTCGTTCTCGGAAGAAGTACTTCATCAGTCTCACTACTAAGGATAAACTTAACCGACGAGCATTTTACTTTGCTGAAAATGGATTCACAATAAGGATGTCTTTGCGAGTTCACGCTGTAGCACACTGCAGTACCAGGAACTAATACTAAAATTTTCGCGAAGAACGGGAATAAGGGAAGACGGATGTGAGGTCATCCAAATATCAAAAATCACGTGATACGGTTAACCGCCTACCGTAGGTGAGGTACTAGCGGGTGTCAGGTCTTATGTCAATGTCATTCAAAGAAAACAGACATCTCGATTAAAAGTTTGTTTTCGCAGTGCCGAAAATTAAGTGAGTTAAATTACTAAATAAATTAAAACAACGGTTGAATTTATTGATATACACATTGCACAAAAACAATTGTTCTTAGTATTTTAGAGTCAAACGCTAAGGCTGAGTTTATCAAGGATCTTGATGCAAAAATTTTGCGCACGTGCGCCACCTAACCACTCCCGGTGTAAGCTGAAACTGTCAAACTTCCACAGGAGGAGGAAATTCCATCTGTCACCGCTCCGTACACTACGCGATCTCGCGAAAGAATCTTTAACGTAGTTTGGTAAAGTTGGCAGACGTCATAATTTGGGATTATTCCCCAGAGAGCATTCTTCAGCATTAAGTTGAACTGCGCTCAAGGATTCATCCCCTAAATCGATACCAGGAGGATATAGCTTTTATAATTAACTTCATATCCATGTCTAGGGTTACATCTCAAAAAACTAATCTTTACTAAATGCATTGAGAATATGTAGTTGTAGCACTGTTGAAAATGTCAATCGCACTATTACCGTGTCAAAAAACGTTTGGTGTTTTCAAAAATATAAATGTAATGATTTTGTGCATATTAAAAGGGGTAAAATAGTACCAGGGAACACTTCTGATACAGTCATTTCTTGCATGCGATTGCGCTCTCTTGTACCGCTATGTCACTGAGCTTTGCTTCTCCATGATGCGGACGTGCGTTGAGCATGTAACACGGACCGTCAATCTTCTGCCTTCCATCCTACCTGTCGAAATATTAGTCATACTGATACTATAGAAGGTTGAGTATAGTTCAAAAGAATTGTTGTTTCTTGTAAATAAATTATTCTTTATCGTAGCTTAGTTAGTTTCTTCAGATGGTGTGGCCACAGCTGGTTTTAAAAGCTATTGGAGGGAGTATTATCTGCAGCGTAGTAGTAATAGATGATTATATAGGAACCTATTCAAAGAAATCTGTCTAACTACCTGGAGTCACGTTTAAAATTACAAGCACAGAATGAAAAAGTCGTTACGCAATTTCTACCATTAGGTAATATACATTGTCACAGCCTGACAGTTCTGTTTTAATTTCTTCAGAAGGTTACGTACTCTCGCGTACATTTGAATTTTATGAGTTTCATTATCCTACCTTGATTCTTGATTTGCAAATACGTATATTATGATGCGGAAATGTTTGTACGGCAGTTACAATGATTTCTCCTTTTCAATAAAATAAATTATATTGGTCAAACCACAAAATATATCAGTTTGTCATAATTTTCTCTACTACTAAGTAGAACAAGTTTGCAAATGAAATTGCTTGGAACTTCAATGACCTCTTCCCTAAGGTCTGTGTTTGCACTTTATTTGGCAAAGCCACGTCGATAAAACTGAATTTACAGTATAGATTTTTCTTGGTCAACCTAATGCTAAATTGCCGCGTTAAAAAGTTATCCAAGATAAAGTAAGAACGACATCTATGAGAATGTGTCACAGCTGTTTCTCAACTTATTAAATATATATATATATATATATGACTATTATACTTTGATAATGTTACTATGTTAGTTCTGATTGGCTACATTACTTTCTGTAATTTACCATCTCTTAAAATGATCCTTTATCCTCCCAAATAACGGAATATGTGAGATTTGTGACAGAATTAACAGTAAAATGAGCGATATGGTATTCAAATATAGTAAAAGTTTTTCCCGCTAAATCTTCTGGAACAAAAATGTCTATGTTAGTAACTTGCTCTATGCATAGTGTCCTACTTTGATTTAATTGTAAATATTTATGATGATTACCAGCCGACGGAGATGGAACTAGTACATTAGCGTATACAGCTAGACATAACACAGTACGTTACACAATATGTAGTCTAATTGTACCCAGAACTCATAAAGTTTGAACATCCCATATCATAGAAACTGAAGATTTTCTAACCCATGTTTATCTGAACTTTGACACTGATGCTTTTAGAGGCTTCAGCGCACATGGCCGTCCATTTTAATATTATTCAGGAGAATAAATAAGCTGCAAATTGTGAACAAAGTTACAAGAAAAGTAAACACGCACAGGCAACCATCAACAACAAGCAATTTATTTTCTACCATTAAATTTCAGGTGTGGCCTGTATATTCACTTCTTCACTTCTTAACACGGTTTCCTCATCCTTCTTAAGCGTTTGTGCTAGTCATTCACCTTAAGACCTTTGTCGCAATAGCTGTAACCTTGAAATAGAACACTATTCAGTCTGGAATGATAGTGCGTGGGCTCGATCCGGGGAATTTATAGTTATTGTGGCTTGCACCTACACGACCTAGCAATTCGGTGCGCTATACAGAATTTCAAATTACCATGTGCCCACCTCATTCCTATTTTCGCATATGGATACGAGAAGCACTTCATATTATGCAGGACGTGTTTCTGTGTACCAGTTGTCCCAAAACTATTGAATCATTTATGTAATCCCATCAGGTGCGTAGGCATCGAGGTAGGCACTGATCTGTCAATAGTATTCCTTCATCATACAGTACTCTTCAGAAGGTGGGGGGAGCTTTTCTTTAAACGGGTCAAATGGAAAAGATATGTATATCCCAGAATCATTTTAATGTTTTCCTGACTTTACTTGAGATGAGGTTTCAAAATAAATTGCATTTGTCATTGTCAGTTATTCTGCTCTATGAGGTGGCATAATTTTCATTGCGAGGTCCCCTCTTTCGACTTCCATCAGCAACATTGTTTTTTCACATGGACGCTATACTGGAATTTTGTACAGTTAAATGGACTTTTTAGTCCTAAATTCAGTGATGTATTTCCCTTGTTGGCCATGAATTTGTTGTAGAAATGAAAATTATGTGTAATTAAAGAGGTATGGTGGAACCTGAACACAAAATAAAATTTTTATTGATGGTAATAACAACAATAATCATAAATAAGCAGAGATAAATCATAGCACTCCTTGAAAATGTCCGTTGTTTTGTAGACAAGGATTAACTCTTTACGCTGTTCAATGTTCGACTTATTGTTTTCTCAGTTTTTCAAACTCTTGTTTATTCTGATGTCTGGTCTGGTATACCAAACTAAGGTTTGGCAATGTCAATGTATGACATATGCGTATGAGAATTAAAAACTCTATTCTGTGCGAATAAATCCAATATGGCGTCCATAAGAAAAAATTAAGTTGAGGACAAGATTCGAAATGTCATATTGAAATTCTATATATGCCATCTTGTAGAGGAGAATAAGTAACAATGTTAATGTTACAGTTCACTCTAGCATCGCACTACAAATAAAGTCAGGAAAAACTCAAAACGATTCTGTGAAAATTCGGTTTTTACGTCTCTCTCTCTAGAAGTACTTTGAATTAAACTAGTGTTTAAAATTTGCTTAGATCGTAGTCTAAGGTCGCAATGATAAAATGTAACAATATAATTCTTAAATGGGAACTACTGAGATTATTTCTATAATATTTATTCTAATAAAGTTGATGGAGACTCATGAACGGTCTCAAGTATGGCTATTGGAACCAACATATCCACGTGATTTCCAATAAAATCATCAGCTTCCATAACTCTGTCCTGCCTTAGAAACTCTAAGCCTTTGTCGCTTGCGCACCGAAGCTCAGTATCTCGTCTTGTGACAATCCGAAATGGTCTAAAATTGCGCGCTTGCGCAAGTACTGCAAATACAATCTATACTGCTTTTGCGGGGATATTTATCGAAGCCTCCTTGTCTACTGCACACGATGAGGTGAGATTCAGCTCGACCCCCTTCTCTTCTGAACATTTAGCGTAATTAATTGACGCCCCCTCAGAGATCCGCTGGATGCTACCTCCACATCTGACAGCCCGAGACTGTCTACCACCAATAGTCGAACCGACATCCAAAGTCAAGATACAGGATTCGAACCCATGCAGCTCACAGCGACTGAAACGGAGACACATAGGGGCTACCAGTACACCACCACAGCTGCCTGATGTGACAAGTTCCTCTAAAAATAAAACATAGGTATAGATACAGGCCCCTAATGAGTATTATAGAACAAATACACACTACAAATAACATTTAGCATATTTTGAAGTGTGTGGATCCTTCAGCATATTTTAAAGTAGTTTATGTCTCATTTAGAGTTTGTAATGAACATAAATCAAGGTTAGCTAAGTCCAATTAATCGATATCGTGAGCACAACACTGTTAATTGGTAAATATTTATGTGTGATATAGGGTGACACAATCGAAAAAGAAAGCGTTTCGGGGTAAAGCATGAATCGTACCATGAAAATTTCCAGTTGACTAGTAAAATCACACCGCTCCTGATGACTAATCTTAAAATATTCTTCTACTAACCATAATGTGGTAGATAACACCAGCAGCTTTCACGGATATGGTTGTCTGCTTCTAGTGAAATGTTATCTACACAAAATGTACACTTGTTTGTTTGGATGACTCAAATTAAATATAATGATACATAGTTCATAAGGATAAATAATATTTTACTTGACGTCCATTCTTTGTATCTTCGAAAAGATATGGATGAAAAAGGAGAACGATTCCATTCAAAATCTATCTTTCCATTTGAAACGCTTTCACATAACTATTGTTAGCTTTAGTGCTTCTGGAGTATGATTTTGACATCGCAGAAGGCTTTAATGCAAAACCTTTTTTGACCTGTAATGATGATACTTTAGTCTTTAGTCTGTTTGTTATCAATACCATTCAGTCAAATAAGTGCAGTAAAAGAATAAGAATATGCTGTTTATAGTCATAAAGGAGCCGTTTTTCGGTTTGTCCATTTTGAGGCTGTAGGTTACATCTAACTGTTCGTACAGTGCTTTTCAAAGATATCCCCCTGTTACTTGTAAAGCTAGCGGGCTGAAATTTGGAGTAATAAAATGGATGCATATTTTAGCATCCAAATATGTTTTAAATGGAATGGGAGGTGGTGTGATACCTCATTTTCAAGCTACTTTATGACCCTAGAATGTAAAAACCACCCTTCTGTCATTTGTTTAACTGAACAACCCACGTTTGATTGCACACTTAGGTAGACCCTTTCATAAGAAGAAGACTTATTAGTCTTATGTTTAACATACTGTTAAAGCCAGATGGCTCAGTTATGACAAAAGGTCGTCTCGGGTTTGTTTTCACTATATAAATAAAAAAAAATAGGGCACATAAAAGATAAGGACGTAATGGAGAAAAGTGCTTCAAAGAAAAATCGTTGTAAGAAATATAGGAACGTTTATGTAGAAAGCTTCTCAGTGCCAAGATAACAGATTTATTTTGAGAGATATATGAAATATGAAATTAATGCAGAGGGCCATTGTTTGAATTTTAAAAAAAAATATTTAGCAATTTTGTGTGAAAAAGCCTCTTTCATAAGAAAAATAAATATATTTCAAAAAAATTGGAACATCAAACAAGGTTCTGCACTAACTCCCAGTCTATCATGGTTTTCAAATTTGAAAACTTAAAAAAGATCCGTTGTCTTGGCACTTTCAAAAAGTATTTTTTTTTTTAGAAAAAAAATCGGAGCATTTACCTCCGTTGACCCGATATCTTTCAAATGAACAAGTTTCTTTTTTATATCTCAAAAATAAATAACTACTGGATTTAGAACATTTGTTTACGTAGTAATAAATAGGAGTTACGATACTAATTTTCAATAGGGAAGATGCTACATTTTTATTTTTATGTTAAACGATTCAATATAGAAAAGAATAGACGCTATAAAAGACCATCGTATATTAAGCTACCGACTCCATCAAAGGAGAGGCTGGTGTCAGCTACGAAACGAAGCAAGCGAAATTCATGTAATGATGCATAATAACTTTTGGGAAGCTATAACTCTGGAAAAACTGACATTTAAGCGCGTTCATCCGACGTGAAGCGGCAGGGCAGTGTACTCGTAGCGCCTTTATGCTGAATAGCAGTGGCCGGGGAATAACTTTGACAGTTTGCAACATTGGGTCAACAAACTATCAAGTGTAACAGCCAAGTAAAAACTGCTGTCAAAATGACAGAGCTATCCTAAGGCTACAGCTATTCAGCATAAACGCGCTGGATCGCTTAACGTCGGCTGGACAACTCATTCTCTCCACACCATTAACAACCTTTACGAATCTTGGAAATACCGAATGTATAATGGTCCTTAGCACCTCAGCCAGTATTTTTTAATAAATACTGTGATATCAGTTAGTAATATTCTGCATCCATAAATCTGACAACCACCAGCTCCTTAACGACGTGCTTTCCAGTCATTTGTATGCTATCGATTACTTATATCATCGTTAGCAAGCCTGTCGAGGCAAGCCTTCAGGTGAAAGTCCATTTTAATGTTGCTTCACTTGTTTCGGCACAATATATATCACCTCGTCAATGAAAAAGAAGAAACGTACTAATCGTCGCTTTCAAGAAGGCATACTGAAAAACCTGAATCTCAACCAAATGTTACCATAGGTTAGTACTTCATTCATGTAACAACAGGAGATATAACTATTGCATAGACGATACATTGAAAAATAATTTCATTGATTCAATGTTATATACAATAAAAAAAATAGAAGAAGGTTTTCAGCATGCCAACTCCACTAATCTTCCATATCTTCAAAATTTACTGAATAAATCCATTTCTAAATTTTCCAGGTCACTATTAACGTATATAAATAATATCCATTTGTCAATGATCCAAATGGTAGATTACAATGGTGGGCATGTTCGTTGTAAAATGTTTTGATTGAACTTGAAATTTATGTTTTAGATACCTATTTTTAGGGTCGCTAATAACGAATTTGATATCAATTGTTTAAATATTGTAATAACGGAAATAATATGGCGGCTTCGTTTTCAAAAAATACTAAGAGAGTGCTCAAAATTAAGATTCAGATATTTCTGAGATCGCTTATAACAAATTGAACATCGATTGATAAAAAATCTAAATGGCGGAACTAGTATGACGGCTATGTTTGCAAAAAATTGTCAATTGCGCTCAAATACAGTATTAAATTTTTTCAATGTATAATTATGTATTATTGTATAATGTAGGATAATTGCCAAAGTTGCAGTCAGTTGCAACCAAAACTGACATATTTTTAACTACGTCTCTGATAAACATGCTGCTATTCAAAATACAGCGGGCCCTTTTTAGAACTCTTCTTGAATCACTAATTCACTATGAATTATGGAAAAATATCAGTTACAGGTATACAGGGTGGCCCGTCCATGTGTGGACGGAATATTACTCATAAACAAATACATTTTGGAAAAATCTATTTATGGCATGTTATGCATGACATTTGAGGGCACATTTCTAAAATATTGGCAATTATACAATTTTGACTTACATATCAAAGTTGTGATGTTTTAAATGGAAACCAATTCAAAAGAAGAAGATTGATTTAACATACTATGGGGTTTTGGTAATTAGCTACTGAGATATAAGATGTTTTTTCCAGAAAAACCGTACATTTCGGCAAGCCCTCAATCCGCCATTTTGAAATTTGGAGTGGTGAATTTTGTATAAAAAAAACTTACATACCTCAGCTGTTATCTTATTTGTCTCTTTTCAAATTTTCATTTTTGCTCATACAGGTTGGTCAAAAACGCGAATAGTACTTTTTCTCAAAAATTTCAAATGCATCACCCTGTATATTTGTGCAAGTTTGAATTCAATTTTTTATAAGCTTTTTTGGTATTAGGTTTGATTCAGATAAAATCACTAGATTTTGAGTTATTGAGCTTTTAATAGAACAACACACCAAAATTAAGGAAAAAGATCACATCATCCATGGAAACAAAAGACAAATAGTGGGCTAGTTCCATATTGCCACTAAGAGATTTGACGTAAAAACTAATAACAATCAGAACAGTATTCAGCTTGAAGCGTAATAAAGAAAGGACAACTATAACAACAACATAAACAAACAACTATCACTACTCAAGACCTAATCTACAAAAACTACTCGAAAATATATCCACCATGTTGAATACACAGCCGTAGTCTTTGGATAAATGATCGTTGCACATCCCTCAGCATGTGTTACCTTATGTTCAGAAAAGCATCTTTAATCCTTTCCTTCATATTTTCCGGGGTGATAATGGATGGTGGATATCTATAAACCTCTTGCTTAACGTAGAAGTCTATCGGTGTCATATCTGGTGATCTAGGAGGCCAAGATATAGGCCAAGATATAATGCAAGATGCTAAGAAACTATTTCATTGGGCTTCGCCCAAAAAAGCACACTATTTTCACCATTTCTTCTTTAGAAAAATTCATTTTGAAACACGTTTTTATTATAATGCTCACAAAGCTAATTTTGACAGTTTATAACTGATAACAATTTATTTGTTTCCAAGGATAATGCGATATTTTAAGGAATTAAGCCGTTCCGTAAAAGACGTGCTACTAACCGAAAAAATAGCCGTAAAAACCCTTATGTGTCTAGTATCACAAAAAAGCTTATAAAAATTGAATCCAAACTTGCACAAATATACAGGCTGATACATTTGAAATTTTTGCGTTTTTGACCACGCTGTATGAGCAAAAATCGAAATTTGAAAAAGTAATAAACAATATAAAAGCTGAGGTATGTAAGTTTTTTTGGTACAAAATTCAGCACTCCAAATTTCAAAGTGGCGGACTGAGGGGTCGCCGAAGTGGGGGGTTTTTCTAGACAAAACACCTTATATCTCAGTAGCTAATTACCAAAACGGCATAGTATGTTATATCAGTTTTCTTCTTTTGAAATGGTTTATCCAAATATGCAATAAAATTTGAGGCATTCTATTTGAAAAATCACAACTTTGATATGTAGTTCGAAATTGGGACACCCTGTATAAAGGCCAGTATTTTAGAAATGTGCCCTCAAATGTCATGTATAACATTCCGTAAATAGATTTTCCCAAACTGTACTTGTTTATGAGTAATATTCCGTCCACACATGGATGGGCCACCCTGTATATTGTTGAAGAATAGTAATGTGTCGATAGGCAAGTAATACAATGTCATGTAATAATAATCATATACCTTCGACTCTGCAATCTATTAATATACATAAAAGTTAAGACAAGCGAGTCCAGTTCTGGATTTTTTCAGCGACTGGCTAGGTAACTTTGTTCTTGTTCGAAATTTCGTCAATATTTCTTCAGTAGGGAGGTATGTGAATTTAAAGATTTGGATTGTTTAGTTAAAGCATCCTTTTTTATTTTCAAATATAAAAATGTATTGGTCCAATACAGGTATACCTAACAGCTATATCAAAAATGTTGGATCTGCCTCAATACGTCGCAAATTCTGCCATGGTCAAAGAATGCGTATATTGCTAATCTTGTTCTTTCAAATTCAATCCGCAATTTTATTCGAGAGTCGAGAGCGGATGATTTAAATTTATTCGAATTAACATTTAATGCAAATGAATCCGTTTTATCGACAATTTCAGTGTAAAGTCCGTACTCGTACCAAATCGGAAGCAAGTGAAAGTCAAACATTTCTTTCACAAAATAAATCGGAAGGGTCTTAAGTATCTATTAACAAAAATATATTTTATTAATCTGCTTTCACTGGATATAGATGTAGCCATAACAACATCTGAAAACTATTAATGATGACTGTAATTAGTGCTGAAGACTTTTTTATTTGTGAAACTTACAAAATCAAAGTGTTTTTACTTCCTGTCGATCTGGTTCAGTATTCTGAGCTTATTACATGCAGTCAAAGACTAAGAAAAGTATGCTTATGATCACAGCGTGTTCGTACAGTAGGGGACAAGAATTCCATACAATCACCGTTTAATCAAACATTGATTTAATGGGGTGGAGGTGAATCTATTTTATCTGCAATAACAACATTGAAAGCTAATTATTTGTATACACGTTATGTCATTCAGCCATTTTCTTGTACAATTTAAAATGAACTGAAACCTATGTTTCTTTGTTAATCGCCATTGAGCCAACTTGCTGGTGAGAATAATGTTGCTGTATAGTTCTATTCGCTTGTTAAAGTAAATGGAAAATTATGGGATCATTACGTACTATACCATAAAGCTAAATATAGTACACAAATAGTGCAATGCTTGGGTATTCAACGCCAACAAGCACCTTGATTGACCACTGCAATCAATGCCATTCATTGCCAACTGGTCTAGCCTCCAGATTTTTGTTGTAGCACGTACTGCTTGATAGAATAGATGCTGAATGGAATTAAGTGTGCAAAATGTGATAAGCATTATTTTTGAAGTTGCTTGGTATCTAAATTAAAGCTAAAAGCTTCCCCTGCAAGATCTCAAAGTCAGCGTGTGAATCACTCCTGTTAAGTACAACCTAGCCGGGTTTACCTGAAAATAGTTCGTTGTCATCCATTATTACTTTATGCACTGGTTATATGTAGCAGGCGATTTGCTGTGTATATCTACCAAGAAATCATTGCGTATAACATCACACAGGTGAGCAAATTCTAAAAACAAGATGCAGGACCGACCTAAGACTTTTCTGATTGTTAGACTGCAACTGACGACTATTTAAATGCCCAATATTATTTTAATAAAACCATTTACTCCATTGGCCGCTTAATCAAACCACATATGTTTCCATTACTGTTTACTATACGACATTTTAGCCACCACGGTGGCTTTTTTTCAAGGACAGTGACAATTAATGGCAATATAATTTGTTTATTTGTCTTCAAGGTGATATTTATTTTTTGTTTTCTTCATTCATTCAGCCTCAATGATCCTGTGCTATGCGGAGGTCACGCGAAGTATCATTTCAATTGATGATGGCACCAGGTGAAACCAGAAAAGCCCAAGATCGCATTTCCAGCCGCCCAATGCGACAAGCGAGCAGAGGTTGTCTGTCGTTTTTTGAATGTACCAGGTAAGTCACCTCCGGCAATCGCCCAGAAGCCCAGAAAACGCTAAACGCTGTCCTAGAACGTAAAAACCTACCTGTAACAGTTGTAGAAACTTACCGGTTAATTGTTATGCAACTTTCGAATACCAATGTTTCATATGCATTGTTCATGTACTTCTATACCTGAGGGTAAGACACAACAGTTTGGCCTTCAGATGTCGAAGTACAACATCTGTTCACTTAAGATCCAATAACAAACCGTAAGAAAATACCCGGAGAAAAAGCTTGTGATCCATCAGTTGGTTTGGAAAATATTATTTAGATCTTTCCTTCAAGGTTAGTCAACCAAATTGGGTCACAGTTCACATAAGAACCAGAAAGATAATTATTGATTATTTTTATTTATACTTTTCTCGTGTAGTTGTTATTTTGCTTCAAGCAAATAAAGGATCGCTAAGTATTTTGTGTTATGAGTTCAGATTTATTACGATTTGATATCTAATTCTAACGATTTTTATATCAGGTAACCACAATAAAGCAGATACTAGGTAGAGTTTAACGCAAGTGGGATTTGTGACATTTCGATTGGTTGTTGCTGTACCTTTCCTCCATGTAAAAACAATCTAGTAACCAAAACGGAAGGAACGGGTTAAATCTCCAGGAATGCAGGAACAAGCATCTTGTATCTTGTATCAAAATTTTCAGAAACAGTCGATGAAGATATATGGTCAGAGTGTACTGCGCAATGGCCTAAACCACACCATCAATTAGGTGGAAGCACCATGGTAGAAAGTGTATTGGATAAAATGTAAGAAAGAAAGATCGACAGCCGAGCGAAGTTTGATGGAAATTTTTAATTAGAATGACATGCCAGCCACCTTCCAGCAGTCGTTTTCTCTTGCAAATGCTTTATAAAGACACCGTAGAGGATTTATTTGGATAAAGATGGCAGCCCTCTATAAAAGAGGAGAAAGAGGACGAGATAGTCAGCGTTATAGCGATTACTTTCCTTACACACACGGATTAATATGAATTGATCCTTTAATTAGGTAGCAAACACGAATATTGGAGGTTTCAAATATCTTTAAATGTGCTTTTCACTTTTAATAAATTCACTGGTCTTCAAAATTCTAAGGGACTGTTGGTAAACAACGTAATACTCGTATTTCTAGTAAGAACTACCAAAACCAGTCAGAACAAAAATTCCTTCCAGAATATTGTTGAATCCCCCAAATAAAAGTTAATTCATCGATGTCTACTCAAAGTCCTCTAAGCTCTAGTTGATGTTCGTGATTTTATCCAACCCGGTTCCTCGGAACGTGAAAGATCTCAGAGGTCTTCGATATCTCTTAGGTGAAGGAGTAAATTAAAAAATTCTCGTATCAGCTATGTCAGCGGCGAAAGGAATAAAACTATAAGAATTCTAAGAAAAGCACTTACGCGTAAACAAAAAAGATTAGTTTACAAATATCTTTCATTAGCCATTTAAGTACAAGAAATGAATTTGATCCGTGAAGACTTATACATTATTTCTAATCTTGAAGATCCTTAGGAACTGTATGTCAAGAAATATAAAAAAAATACGTCCAACGCCTGTATAGCAAAGTTGTAATGGTAAGTTTTCGTGTAGGGATTCCATAAAGACCGTGAATCTAGGAAAATTTTAGAGCCTATGTACAGAAGTATTCCACTCTTGCTTAGGTTATCTTAATTTGTATGCCCTTAAGGTTATTAAAGGTGAAATTTTTGGAATTGCTGTTTTCGAAACGACGCGGTACTATTAAGATCACTAAATATGATAATTGTTTAGGAAAGTTCCTTTATTTTCAAGTTAATCTAATGCTGAGCTATATACATGAGACCTTCGGAAAACGATTTAGGAGATATAGGAGATTTAAAGCTGTTTCTACAGCTAAAATTTTATCATATATTACTAACACCACCTCTATAGGATCTCATTAGTGCATATTAATATGGTAACATCTTAATGCTAGACTTGTAATTGCATAATATGCATATAATTACTTGTGTTCACCTGTACATCATAAGTGAACTACAATTACATAAATTATTTTGTAATACGCTTTACGGACTTTGAAATCTAGGTCAAAATGTGAATATGGGTAATTCGTGTTTGTACAGACTATACATTGATCTAATCCAGAGAGCAGCTATATTATTAATTCCTTTATTGTTTCAATGAAATTAGGAAGTGTGATAAGATAGCGCGAGGTCGCATGCATTTACAAGTACACATCTAAGTGGTGGAAGCAATATTTTTATCTAGATACGTTAATTGAGAATGGAATATTGACAGATGGACAGAACCGGCTACAGGCGATAATCAAGTTAGGCAGCCGCCTCAGGGCACAGCATCACGGGGGGCGCAAAATTTCCAATTAATGTGGGGGAGGGCGGCATATTTTATCCTTTGCCTCAGGATGCACAAAACTCTGAAGCCGGCCCTGCAAATGAAAAATTATAATATTCATATAGTATACGAGCCCCTTCCCATCGCCGAATAAGGTCTTTTGGACTTTCATACCGTCCCCATCTTGTACTACCTCTGACACCGCACCATCGTGGGCAACGATTGGTATGGAGTAGGGAGAGACTTGAATGGAATATGGAATGGAACTCAGTCGTGTTCAGCGATGAGCCCAGATTATGTTTTTGCACACATGATGGCAATGCAAGAGTAAGGAGAAGTTGTGGTGAAAGACATACGGCATAACAAGTTATATAAATATGGTATACGCGGGAATGCGTACTACTGGCTTAAATCTTATATCTGTAATAGAAGAAAGTAATTTTGAACAAAACTGGGAAACGAATAACATCTAGTCCTCGGACATATAGTGGTGTTCCTCAAGGCAGTACACTGGGCCCAACATTGTTTATTATATATTAATAATATATCCACCACCACGAAAAACATGCAAAATCTAAGTTTCATCTATGCAGATGATATAACTATTCTGATACCATATAAAGGAACGTCTGATATCCAAATCTTGATAGAGACCCAAATAAACCATATTCAAAACTGGCTGATAAATAAGTTAGCATTCAACATACAAAAAAACGTGTTGTGTCCTATTTCAGTCAAGCCATGCCACCTAAGAACTACTTTTAATCAATGAACCTCTATGTATCAAAAGCGATACAAGCCTCCTGGCTGTCACGTACGATAGCTGTCTCAAGTTTGATAAGCACATTGAGAGTATGGCTTCAAAACTCAATCAAACATGTTATGAACTACGAGTACTCACTTGCCACCTGTCCTTGCAAGCTGTGAGGGTGCCTACTATGGGCTTGCATATTCTATTATGTCTTATCAAATAACAATTTGGGGTAATAGCCCCGCAGCCAATAGAATTTTTATCATACAAAAGAGGATAATAAGAACCATGTTCAAAATGAAACCTAGAGAGTCATGTAGAAGTATATTTAAAGTTAACCGCTTATTAACATTACCGGGAATTTACATCTATAACACTCTACTATTTATCTTTAACCATAAAGAAAAGTTTGGAAAAAACGTCTTCAACCACAGTTACAATACTCGCAAAAGTCAGAAATACTTCTACCCATCACATAAGCTGAATTCTACCGAAAAATATCCACATTACTCTGCACTGAAACTTTACAATGCTTTACCTCAACATCTTAAAACGGGTGATTTTTTAAGAGTTATAGGATTTGATTTTCAAAAAAAACACAAAAAATTTGAAAAAACGATTAAATCTGTATTTGAGTCGATAGAACGGTCGATATAATTTATTGTTCAAAGATTATTTCATGTAAATGTTGGCCGCGGCTCCGCTTTAGATGGCCCATGCGCAAGGTCCAATTTTGGCACACTCTCTCCAACATATCGGCCGGTATCTTACGAATAAATGCTTCAATATTGGCTTCCAGTGCGTCAATCGTTGCTGGTTTATCCTTGTAGACATTAGCCTTAACATGGCCCCACAAGAAATAGTCCAACGGCGTTAAATCACACGATCTAGGCGGCCAATTGACGGACCCCAAACGTGAGATAAACTGTTCACCGAACTCGCCTCTCAATAGGGCCATTGTTTCGTGTGCGCTGTGGCATGTGGCACCGTCTTGTTGAAACCACATGTCAGCCAAGTCCAGCTCTTCCATTTTGGGCAAAAAAAAGTTTGTTATCATCGCACGGTAGCGCTCACCATTCACAGTTACGTTCCGGCCATTGTCGTCTTTGAAGAAGTACGGCCCGATGATGCCACCGGCCCATAATCCACACCAAACAGTGATTTTTTCGTGATGCATTGGTAGCTCTTGCAATGCTTCTGGCTGGTCTTCACTCCAGATGCGGCAATTTTGCTTGTTAACGTACCCATTCAACCAGAAATGAGCTTCGTCGCTGAACACAATTTTTCGATAAAAATGTGGATCTTCCTCCAACTTAGCCAGCGCCCATTCACCAAATTGGAAACGTTGTGGGAGGTCGTGTGGCTTCAATTCTTGCACCAGCTGTATCTTATAAGGTTTTACACCCAAATCCCGTCGCAAAATTTTCCACGTAGTAGAGTAACAGAGGCCCAATTGCTGCTAACGGCGGCGAATCGACATTTCACGGTCATCACTAACACTGGCGGATACAGCCGCAATATTTTCTTCAGTCCTCACTCTACGTCTGCGTGTTGGTGGTTTGATGTACAATAATGTAAACTGGGTTCGAAATTTAGTCACAAGCTTCCGAATAGCTCCCTCAGTAGGCCGACCAAATTGCCCATAAATTGGAAGCAGTGCTCGATGCACTCTCTTAATCGAGCATGAATTTTGATAGTAAAATTCAATAATTTGCAAGCGTTGTTGGTACGTAAGTCGATTCATGGTTAAATTATAGACCAAACTGACCAAGTTTGACAATGACACAAGACACGATTCACGCGTCATCTGTCAAAAACAGTGTTGCCAAAAAGATACCAGCAAAAAAATCACCCATTATATATGCGCGTTGGAACCATATACTATTGAAGGGTTCTGTGCTCTAGTGAAACCGTAAGCATTAATATCGCTGTTGTTATATGTTGTCTATGTACGAGCTCCTTCCCACTTCAGTTGGCCAAACTATTGAAATCTTAGTTTTTTTCTTATCAAACACAAATAATAAAAATGTAGCAGGGTGTTATAGGTTTAAAATATTAACAATGAATATTTTAATAATATATAGTAGAAAACAACAACTTTTTCACTCCCTAATCAAATTTTCAGCATAAAAATAACACATGTTGCAATTACAGCATATCAACCTATTTTCATTTCAATTCAAAATAAGTATGTAACGCATAGGTGGCTGTGAAAAATAAAATCCATGACAATTGTTTTTATTAATCACAGCTGTCAGAATAGGTTTAAAATATATTTGGGTAGTTAAGGTTTTCAAAAAGGTTATTAGTGAGAAAATTCGGTTACTGATAATTAAATTTTTTAATTCTGGGAAATCAAACTCAGAAATTGCAACTTTGTTAGACTTATCGCGGTACAGTGTGAGAAATATTGTTAGAAGATATAACGTAACGGGTTCAGTTAATATTAAGCCACGATATGTGAAAAAAGTAATATCACAACTGCCGACCGAAGAGTTATAAGAAGAATAATCGCGAAAAACAGACGTGCCAATTATTTACAATTAAGTGCTCTTTGGACTGACGCTGTTGGAAGGAGAATTTCGAGGTCCACAACTCAAAGAGAGGCCCACAAACTGGGATTTAGCACTTGCAAGTTAAGTTTTCTTATAAAAAAAGTGAAGTAAAAACCCTAAAGTTGCACAACTTGTTTATAGGCCAAAGAAAAACCACTATTAACTCCACTGCAAAAGAAAAATCGGCTTAGATGGGCTTAAGAATATAGACAATGGACACCTAAACAATGGTATGCAATACAATGGAGTGATGAGGCCCGATTCGAAGTTTGTATTGGTGACAGTCGCAGTAGAGTTATTCGCAAAAAAATTAAGCATTCCATGTTGACTGTCTGAAGAGAAAAGTGAAATTTCCAGCATCCATTATGGTCTGGGGCAGTATGTCATCAAAAGGAGTAGAAAAACTTCATTTTATTGATGGAAATATGGATACAAACAAATATTTGGCAATTTTAGAAGAATCGCTTTTAGTGATGGAAGATTGTTTGACATTCGGCCAAGATGGTGCAGCGTGCCATACCTCAAAAAAGGCTATAAAATGGATGGAAGAAAATAATGTACCACTTTTGAAATGGGTTTCTAGCAGTCCAGATCTGTCACCTATTGAAACTTTGGCACGAGATGAAAAAGGTTCTTCCACAACATCCTGCTCGTACAATCACCGAACTGAGACAAACGCTTCAAGAAATACGGGATAGTTTTATACCAAATTTTTGCCAAAACTTGGTTAACACTATGCCCCAAAGAACTTCAGCCGTAATAAAACATAAAGGTGATGTTACCCAATGGTAATCTTTCAATTGTTGCTTTGTTAACTTCGCGCATTTATTCGGACATTGTTTATTTGTTCAGATGTTCTATTAGTTATAGGGTCAAAGTGATTTCAAATATGTATTTTTTACGACTAGAGTGTATCTAAAATGTTTGCAAACATTGCAAGATACACCTTTTCCAGACCTTTCCCCCGTCGAACATGATGGGAAGAAGGTTGCAAAATTCGCCGCACCCTCCACATACATTGGAGTCTCTACGAAACCAAATTCAGATCGCCTGGGATACAATACACCAAGAAGACATCAATCACCTAATCCATTCAATGCCGCGACGGCTTAACAAATGTGTAGCAAACAGATGAGCCTCAACACATTATTAAAAGGTGGGATTATCTCAGCTATTTTTCGAAATTTCGAGTTGAAATTTTAATCACTTTATATTTATCACTAGACCCGAAACATGTAAAAATATGCTCAAAATTACATCACTCCTAGTCGGTGTTGCATTTTCTATGCCCTTTAGTAGTTTATGTCCAGGTTGAATATTGACATCCGTCTCTACTATTTATTGGCCTATTCAGGAAGGCCTGTTGATCAGTGAACTTAGCTATTCTAGTACTTTGATTCTTGGACAATGCACCCCGTGGAGCAAATTGTTTATGTTCTGGACTGATCTACCTAAACCTAAACCTAGATGCATGAAAGGTGTATTTTAATGAGTCGACCTAAGCTTCTAAAGTATGAAGTACTCACGAGTACATATATTTTTGTTTTGAATTTTCTTTATGAGTGTATTTGAGGACTCGATTTAAATAGTCTTCAAAAGTCCTTTTGTTTGAAAATTTCGCGAAAAAAGTTTCCCGCCCTTGGCGATTTCTAGATTATCCTAAACCAAATCACTGCTCCCTCACTATACGAGTATAATGGTGAATGCAAATATACAAATAGTATAAACTCTTTGAAGACATAAATAAAATTACTGAATGGCTATTATTTAACAAAAATCGGATAAATAGTCAATTTACTTTACTACCGTGCGAAAAATCCTGTTCCTGAAACAAGCCCTTTTACTGTTAACAGGGTGATGTCGCGCACCCTAGTTGACGGTAGGATGAATGCGCGACCGCGCCGCTTCGACAGTGGAAAGTATATAAGTAGTTGTACAACCGACCAGTAGAGGGCGAGGGAGTTTTACTAAAGTAAACTGAACATTTATTTGGTGTTTGTTAAAGAATAAGTATTCTTCATTTTATTTATGTCTTCAAATAATTTTTCGGCAGTAGGACACTGTTATTTTCAATAAAATGCTCATTTAATTGCTGCCATATCAATCTAGATATTGTATCAGACTTGCGTCAATGCTTCAAGTGTGATACAAATGCTTCCTTTTCATTGGTGCATTATGTGATTGACCGCTAATTTAGTGCCTGGACGTAAATGAAGAAATAGGTTTTTGTAGCTAAGCCAAGTGACTTATGACATATTTCTTGAGCCATATTTTTCTCCAGTTTAGGAGACATTTTAAAGTAATCGAACATAATGATTAGATCCATTACTTCACCATTGGTTGGATTTGTGACCCACGCACCTTTTTGCGTCCCGCTTAGTAAAATCGGTCATTAGGAGGTACTTTTTTCAAAATGTCAAAAAATACAAGTAATCAGCTGATGTCAGCGTTGCGTGGCAATTGCAGATCCAACCTACTTGACGCCATTTTTTTCAAAGTATCTATGAATGAATCATCCGTTGTAAGTAATTTCCTTGTCCACGTCTATATAGGGGAGACTCGGGCAAAAGTAACCACTTTAAGTTGTCAACTTTTTAAATCGTTTACTAAATTCTAATTATTATTTTTCTTATGGGCAATAAAACTCTATTACATTTAGAAACTTAATATAATTATGTTACGAATATATAATTATTGTAATATATCTTAAAAAAACATTAAAACAAAAGTTGCTTTTGATTCCTTTTGCCCACATATGAGGGCAAGAAGAACCAATGCCTTGGGCAAAAGGAATCAGCATATGAAATACATATGAACAAAAAGAACATTACTTCAAACATAACTAAAAGTAGAATTCTATTAACAATTCTTTATTTCAAGGAACTCAAAACTGATAACTTGCATTTGTCGCAAATATAGACACCTCTGTTGTAATCAGCACATAATTGATGAGCCCAGTTTTGACACATATTGCACTCAATCCATGTTTCGCCAGGTCTAGAGTTGCCAAAAGTATCTCCACAGACGAGGCATGGTACATTTTCTTCATTGGGGTCCGTTTTATGTACCTACCGGTGGCTACGGGTACTGCAATTTAGGTTGATCCAAATTTGAACTGCTAGGTTTCTTTGCACGTTTCATTTCATCTGACAATTTGGTCTTGGGTAATTTTTTATTTTTCTGATTGCTCAACTCTTCTCTAATAGGTGTAGATGTTAAAATTTCTGACTTCTGTGGAAAAGTGCTGAATTGCAGTTAATGGTATAAAATAATTTGAATTTTCGTAAGTGGATTGGAAGGAGCACGATGGAATAGGAGAAGAACGATTCTCTTTCCCATGATTCTCATTTTCAAGAGAGCAGAGGGATATAGGCGAATGAGGAGGTGTGCGATGTTCGACGTTACGCTGTGTGTCTTCAGCAACTTCATGCCTCGAACATGACGGAATAGGTGAACTTGGAGATGCAGATTGACCATTACTAGCGGCAAGGTTTTGAGCCTTGTTGGCATCATATTCCTTTTCTGTGACTTGAGAAGGAACAAAATCCAAGTCACTAAAAACATCAATATTGCCATCGAGTATTCCTGTCTTTTTGAATCCACGAATTGCATTTTGAGGAGTAGCGCCTTGTAAATAAGCAGATCCAAGTATTGCTCCTAATTCGTAGAAAGTAATATGTTGTGCAGGATGTTGCTTTTGCCATTTATCAACCTCTCTTTCAAAATATGTTCCAATGGGCCCATATACCGCAACATCAAGCGGCTGTAATTTGATTGTGGTATGTGGAGGAACAGAAAGGATTACTACATTGTTTGCAGAAGCATAGTCCAACACCTCCAAAGATCGATGTGAAATACGATTATCCAATATAAGTAAACATTTATGTTCTGGAGATGGTCTAACAGATTTTACAAAAAATGTCATCCATTCTAAGAAGATCTCACTAGTTATCCAACCATTGTCGCTTACAAAATCTACAGTTCCAGGTGGAGTGCCATTTAAGTATCTTGGATTTCTCTTCTTCCGGGGAAATACGAGTGCCGGAGGGATAAATTTTCCAGTAGCGGAACAGCAACATATGGCGATTACCAGCTGCCCCCTCTCGGCCGATGAAATTGAGCCCACTTGTTTTTTTCCCTTCAAAGAGATAACTTTTGGTGGCCGCTTTACAGACGTTTGAATACCGGTCTCGTGCACGTTGTATACGTATATGTTGTCCACATCGAATAAATATTTTTGCCGAATGTTATTTAGATTATCAAAAAATAACTGCACTTGTGGCCTGTTAAATCCATAAGCCCGGGCAATGCTTGTAGATTGTGGAGTTCTAAGGCTTAATTCGGGATGTCGCCTCATAAAATTTGAGTACCATTGCTCCCCAGCTGATCCATTACGAAAATTATGTGGCACATTATACTCGAATGCTAAACTGCATAAGTCTTGTTTTGTGGGCCCATAAAAACGGGCGTCCATTTCTTGAATATGTTGTACAAGTTGCTGTTCCATATCGCCAGAAAAAACTGGTCTAAACCGTCCTAATTGTTTTTTGGAAGACTGCTTCAAAAAATGTTTTCGTAAGGTGGGATATGGAATTCGAAACTGCAGAGCGGCACCGCGAATAGATGTTCCTTTTTGGTTAATCGCATTTATTGCGCGATTCATTATATTTTCGTCCCATCCTTGGGCTCACTCTGTTTTTCGCTTATAATTGAAAACCATTATTCAGAAACAATATTCAATTTTGAAAAAAAAATCACTGTTTAACGAAATAGCGGGCAAAAGGAGCCGGGCAAATAGAACCGGTTCTTCTTGCCCGGTTCTTCTTGCCTAAAAAGTATGCAACACAAAATACCTATTCGTTATGAATGTCAAACGCTTGAACAGCGCCACAATTTATGAGGTTAGAGTCTACGCAAAACTTCATTTATCGCCACAAAATTTAATGCTTCAACTTATAACAATACTCAAATAATTTCCATCTATTTAAACCATGATCAACAATTCAGGACTGATACATTTTCTAAATTGGCTGTAAAAACATGAAAAATAAGCTCACCGGTATGGGTATCCAAACAAACACTGGAGAATCGCGGTACCTGCCAGAAGTAAATAGGAGATATAGGCGGGAATTTTGAAACAAAAAAATTTTGAGCTGGTTCTTTTTGCCCATATGGTTCTTTTTGCCCGAGTCTCCCCTATTTCTTTACTCGGATACAGTTTCAAACCAGTTTTGGTGATGAAGCCGTATATGTGAGACAAGCTTTAATACTCAAAATCAGATACAAAAAGCTTGACTAACTAACGGACATTTGTCACGGTTCGGAGTTTTTAAGCGGTAAGTAAACCACTGAGAGATACCAATAAACAAATTTTGGTAGCTGTGGTTTCTATGGGATCATACTATTTTATTATTTATCATAAAACACTCATTTTTCACAATTCTTTGTTATCTCCTTGCGGCCTACTGTTCTCTTAGGATGACCACCAATCCATAAACAATTTTCTTGCGTTCTGATTACCTATTTATAGGCTTTTTATGAACAACAAAATTATAGCCAACAAAATAGCTCAGATGGTGGAAATAGCAGGTATAGTCACACACATCTTACGGAAACGTTCAACTTGCGATGATGAGGGACTTGGTATCAGGCACAACTCAATTCCATCAATAATGAGACATTTCAGCTTGAAGCTAACAGATAATTCATTTTTATCTGGGTGTAATATGAGTATAGTATAGAAATAATAAGAACCTTCATTTAAGAGTGTTCGCTAGTCTTCTGGAAAGAGCATATCCTCCAGGATAACAGCCATACATTTACATTATGTTAGAACGAGAATAACACAGCTATAGCTAGTGTAAACGGCGGGACCGGCGTATTGTTACCTGGTTAAGATGCATTTATCGACGGTATTGCTGATCTAATTTGTGTGATTTGGCAAATCGGGGAATAGGGAGTCAAATTACAGATCGAATTAGACAAGCCAGTATTGCCATTTGTACTACCTACGCTATGATAGCCAGTGTAATGCTGGAGGTAGCAAACTGCATTATATTTGAAGGGCCATTTTATATTCACTAGTGCTGATTAATTTTTTATATATATATAACATAAATTAAATGATTTCATAATAAAATGATAAACCTAGCCACAAAGGATCAACATGATACTACGTACTGCTACTGCCATGCTCTGAATAAGATCTTAAGCTCAGACTGCATCGATTTCAATCTGAAAAAGAGTATGTAGTGAAGCCATAGTAGTTATGGTTCACTTATATTCAGCAATTGATTTTTTGGTTAAGAGTACCCTAATTGGTACAGCATACGTTGATTTATGCATTCGCTTCTGTTTACTGCGACGAAGGGGAAAGCGATATAAATGTTATCACCTTCTGGAAGATAGTAGAAAATATATTAGTTTTCGAAACCATTATAAATATGTATGTAGAAGGAAAATATTTAATATGTATGAGTATCTACGTGAATATGGAATTTATTAGATGAACAGATGTGTTGACATTCAGAGAAAGTCTAATATAAACAGATGACATTTGTTATATGATACAGTCATAAGTTTTATATCAATCATAGCAATCATTTCTAGTTGGTGCAAAGTGTGGTGATACTACATTAATGAGACGTGAAGATGTATGAAGTGATACAGACACTTCAGTAGACAGAAAGTGATTTCCTTGTTACCATGAATAACATTTTGAAATACACTGTTTCTCAGACATGAGAACTTTACTCGAAGATATTCTATATCAATTACTATCCTCTTTGCTTACGAGTATATTATACAGAGTTTTTCACAGCTTATCCGACACATTTTAACAACATAACATGCACTGTTACGAAAGAAGTTGATTTCTCAAAAAAATGTAATAAAAGTCCTACAGAAATTAAGTTATAAACCTGAGTTTCAACAATAAATTGAAAATTAAATATCTGTATTTTGCATCCATCGTCGTAGTATGAGAACACGCATTAATAATTTATTGTAGCAAATGTACCAAACAACTGACGAAAACAAAATACCAGGAATTTTTTGTTTTTTTCATAGTGATAAGAACGTGTAAATAAGGTCTAATCTGTAAAGTCGGTGATCTGAATGAAGAACGGCCGATTTTTGTGAAGTTAAATAAGAAAGTACCTTGCGAGTTTATGTTTTTAATTATTTATTAATAAAAATGGCAGATGTGTACACTAATGAGGAGTTAGTGGACATTGTTTTAGCGTAAGGAGAAGCATTTCCGAATAAGTAGGCACATGCCACATCACGAGACATTTAGTTCATTTGTTTTACGTGTACGTGCTTGTGGAGATTTGCGCCCCAGACGTGGAGTGGATGGGGTCGGGGGAATTTCTTTGGAATGACTTGGCGGTACTTCTTGAAGATGTACCATTGGTGGTCCGAGCACGGATGGGGTATTTTCGTTTAGAAGTTCGTGATTATTTGAATCGTGTATACCAGATACGCTGGATCGGAAGGGGTGGACCAGTTCCATGGCCTCCACGGTCTCCCGATCTAAATTCTCTGGACTTATTTTTATGGGTATACTTGAAAAACGAGGTATACCGTACTCCAGTTCAGAATATTGAAGAATTGCGTGACCGAATCACAGTGGCTGCCGATAGTTTGAGCCTTCAGGCGCAGCAGGAAGGAGGTGTATTTGAATTAGTGCGCCGAAATCGGATTAGACGCGCCCAAGCTTACATTGCAGTCAATGGAAACAGCTTTTATAAGTAAGTGAACTGTTAAACTGTATTATTTTATTATCTCGATTTCTGTAGGACCTTTATTACATTTTTTTTTGAGAAATCAACTTCTTTCGTAACAGTGCATATGTGGTTAAAATTTGTCGGATAAGTTGTGAAGAAAAGAGATAGTGACAGCCAGTTGAATGTCGCACGTCAATATAATAACCAGTTCTAAGATGTTCGCAAGGTTATAACTGGAAAATAAGTGAAGGTTATTAATACAACTATAATAACGTTTACAAACATTCGTTCGTATCTATGCAGTAACAGTCAACCCACAAAATCCATACTCCAAAGATTCGATGTAAGTTGAGATGAAATATTGATGCATATCTACACCTAATTCTTAGTATGTCTTCTTATGCAAACTAGAGAAACGATATTAAGTCTTGGTACATTAACAGCAGGAAGAAGCCTTATTCGCATAAATAAAAAATTGAAGAATGTAGAGACAGGTTAATAGGTAAGTAGTAAACTATCAGTAATAAGTAAAGTGCATAGTTGTGATTCAACTAAACTGAACCTTAAACATCGCTTAATTCGGTTAAAATACTTTGCCGTTTCGACAAAAAACAAATAATAATAATAATAATAATAATAATGACTTTATTCAAAAGATGATCATAGTATAGTATGGCGAAGTTTAGCCATGGCTACTCTACCACTTAACCATACTACAACCAGACATTACAAAACATTAGCATAGCAACATGAATCAATAGCTGTAACGAATGCATTAAAAATATATAATATGAACATATACAAAGAAAAGAAACAAAAGAACAAGATATCGTTCAGCAAAATGAATTTATCACTCAATGTGCTGAGTCCAGAAAGTGCAACTTGACTGTCTTCTTGAAGCACTGCAAACTTAAGCTCTTAGAGATAGCTGGCAAAGAATTGTATACCTTGACCGCATTATAAGTAAAGGACCTTTCAAAGACCGACGTACGATGTATAGGAATGGAAAGTAGATCATTGTGCCGCAGATTTAGAGTAATTTGGTTTCCACGAGGAATCAACTTACAGAGCAAATAGACGGGTTTACCAGTTTTAAAAATTCTATGCACCAACGAAGCCATAGAGTAGTTGTATAAGCCGTCAACTCTGAGCCACTGTAACTCCTTGATTTTTGAAGAAACGCTACTGTACTTCCTAAGCCCAAATATGAATCTGCAACAGTTGTTCTGAAGCTTCTGCAATTTTGACTTGCAAGCTGAGTCTAGACATGGGTAAATGAGGACTAAAGAGTAAGCTAAAATTGATAATATGAGGCTTTCACACAACTTTTTACGGCACTTAAAGTTTAGAATATGGCGACTAGAATATAAAAGCTTCATCTTCATATAACTCGACTTCATAATATTATTCACATGTAAGTTAAATCGAAGATCTGAATCAAATATAACACCTAGATTCTTAGCATTATCACAAAATGGAATATCTATGTCGTTGATAAACAAGGAGACCCGATTTGTGATGTTGTAATTTGAATGTCTAGGACAGTATGGTATCGCGGTGCATTTTGATGGATTGATGCGGAGACAGTGTCTATTGCAATACGTTAATACGTTGTCAAGATCTAGGTTAATTTTGTAGGATGCTTCATGTAAGTTGGATTCATTGAAACGAAATGTTAGCTGTGTATCGTCAGCATACATTTGAATGCAACAATGTTCTACACACTCATGCAGATCGAATGTGTATACTAGGAATAAAAGAGGTCCCAGTACTGAACCCTGTGGAACTCCTGATGACAGATACTGTGCATCAGAAGTTCCTCTAGATGTTTTCACTCTTTGGGTGCGATCAGTTAGGTACGATCTGAAGAAATTCAAAGGAACTTCCGACATGCCATAATATTTTAACTTACTCAAAAGAATCTCATGATTGACCGTATCGAAAGCCTTGGAAAAATCAAGCATGACCAACAGCGTGCCGGATTTGTTGTCAAGGTTGGAAAGTATCTCATCTGCAAGATAGATGGAAGATATCGCGTACATTGTCTTAAAAAGCTATTGAAATGATGTCACTAATACGTAAAACAAGACACTGAAATACCATGAAGAATAATAAGGCAGTTGGCCTTCAAAGATGTTAAGCAATGACCGTGGTAAAAGGGTAAGTGGAACAGGTCTGCATTAAATTGGTAGTTAACTGCATACTGCCGGATTCCGTATATCATATTATCAGAAGGTACGTATGTATTTGTCCACCGATATTTGCAAGCAATTAACAAATATTCGGTGTATACTTTGGGCAGAATTCACGTACCCAAACTCAACTTAAGACATTCATTATGTCCATCTGATTTTTAGATTTGAACTGTTTCATAATTAAGAGCTATTCAACTTTAGGACCATGGATGAGGATTGTAACTATTCTAACTTTTCCACAGCTTGGCTGATGTTTGTCAATTTCAAACTTGTTCCAATAATGAAACTTTCTAAGTTATTTAAGCACGATATATCCAAATGTATGTGATATATTTGCACCTGCTTCATTGTATGAAAAGAACAAAAGCATTTGTAAGTTATGGTTCTCGAAACCTTTAATGCTTTAGGTTTCTGAGAAGGAAATAGAATCGAATTATTACCTCACAGATGAACCTTGCTTATAACAGCGTTTTTTTTTCACCTGAACAATGCTCCCGTAATATCTTGCGTAATTATAAATAACAAATAAGAATTTGTTGCGTTGCAGTTGTATTTATTTTCAATCGCCGGAAATTCCACATTACGGTATCTATTTCTGTGCAGACTCATACAACAACACGGTAGCAGTGCCAGTGAGAATAAACAAGCTATAGCCAGCTCATAGTATATGCCAAAGTGTCTCAATTGCTATCTCTTAAGCTTTTAAAACAACATTAATATTCAAAACTAGAGCAGCGAGGCTAGCCGAAGAATTGATGAGGCGATATGGTTTAATACATACTTTAATAGTTGAGCTGCCATCTAGCGGATTAAGTCTTTCTGCGACCTAGCTCATTCCCTTAAATGAAGGAACTGTTTCAGTCATCTTCCTTCTAGCAGTCCCGGCTTTTCAATGGTATGAAAGATACGATGTTCGTTATTGTTTTATTAACCCCACGTTCTATTTCGAGACACAAGTGAACATTTTGTAGTCATTTATAATAGCGATTGTATGCGCAGATAGCCAAAGTTAAATCAGTTCGGCTGTCTGGCTGCATATACATGGTGGCCCAACTATGTGGGGACACGCAAGCAAGCAATATGCTTTTGTGCTTCAGCAGCCATAAGGGCAAAATTAAATACTGGAGTAGATTCACTGCTATGGAGAAATAAAGGGAATTGTGGAAAAGGTACCTCTAGTACATTGTCGATACCTTAAGTAGAAAGTAGTTATTGTATCAGTCAATTCTTCGGTATACATACCGAATGAGTTGAAAGGAAAGAGACAAATCACCCCTTCGTGCACGAGAAGGTGGTGTGCGAATGTATCTTGAAGAAGTATCGCTGCTGATAGTCGGATTCCTTCCTTTGTATGTATCGAGTAAGGACAATGTAGGTAACAGTTCCACATATATGTAAATATTTATCTGGATATTTTATACAGCAATATTAGATAATAGAAATTATTCCATTAGGCCAAGCTTCTTCCCAGCGGCTGCTTAAATTGACGAAACTTCTACGTGCTAAATTATCTATTCGGTATTAGTTAACCTCTAGTAAGACAAAACGAATACTACTGACGATGTGATAATGACCAATTAAGGCTCGGTTTTTTAGCTCACGACTAAACTTTATGTAGAGTACCATTTTTGGTAACTACCGAAAGCTGCTGTTTGTAGAAAGAATTGGTTTATAAACCGGGACTTGATAGTAAGATAACTTTCTAAAAATATCGATAAAAGCCATCACGAACTACTGATAATTTGATAGATTGACTTTGAGAATTGAGATCCACTTTACACTTGCACAAACTAAGTATAATTAAAATTGAAAAACCATCAATAACTAAATTATGGCATTACGGTTGGAAATTAATAGCAATCAAGTAACTATTAGAATATAAATCATAACAAACAAATTCGATACTACTTACGTACCAATATAAAAAGATAGTTCTTGACTCTCCATGCTTTCCTCAAATATCCTGTTCCTGATCTTGGGTAAGTCCTTGGAGCTCCGTATCGCCTCGGCAACCATATCTTTGTTTCTCAACTGCACACTATCACTTTCAGACGTGTCACTTTCAACCCCCATCACTTCAGTCTTATTCAGAATCACACCCGAAGTGGACGCGATCACGACAGTCTCGGCTACGTGAGGTCTGGGTTTCCTCGCGCTGCGTGTAGACATCTTGCGTCGAGGTCTGCGTAACCTCCACAGCTGAGGTATTCAACATGTTACGCACAGCACTTGAGGTGCATCCTCAACGTCAAGTCATAGTCGTGTCGGTGATTGTGCGACGGTTAACCTTAGTCGCGCTATGGTTTTTTGCTTACTGCGCTGCCTCGCGCACTTTCACTGTAATCTGAGTCAGTTATCGTTCTCGGTTAAGCGGTGGGAGCTTTGTCGTTATTGCGAACAAGATCGTTTATATTTCATCTTCAATAGATTCATCGTAGAAAATTGTCATTTAGATATGGCAGTAAAGTACAGGTTTATCAGATAGCAACAGGTGAATTCACAGCTACACGTAACGCTCTGGTTTGATCATGCTTTTTGGGCACTGTTAGGGATATCAGCGTCTAGAAGCTAATCGGACAGTAGTAATATCCACATTGTTTGAGTTTAGGTAGCTGCCAAGTGTTAAGTATTGAGTATATTGAGTGACATTATGTAGTTCCCGTTTATTGATTTGCAGTTGTTTAACTTATACTGAATTGCATACATATAACATATAGCTAATGCTTGCAAACTACCTTTATTAGCACACCTGAGTTAAAGGTACAAGCAGATGGTACTGGAGTACTATCGAGGTAGATGACTTTAACTGTTAAGAGACGAAGAGCGTGTTAAAAGCAGGGTAATTTGAAAAAACAAGGAAAAAGGCATCACTGTCATTTGTGATAAAGTCTCCAAATCCGACCGGAATGAATATTACCAGAATGACACATAGCGGTAGATATAGAGCCTATATCAAGTTTAGGAATAAAAGCCCTCTCACACAATATGGAATATAGAAAAAATGGCGTCCAGTAAGTTGACCCTGTACTTCTCTCGCAAAGCTGTCATGTTCGTAAAGGATTATGTTCTGCTCAAGTTAGCTCGTTTTTGGCTTCTTTCTCCGCCGCCACATCACTGATTTTCAAAAAGTACAATGCTTTTTCGTCCCTGGTATAGTAGTAACCTTCTGTAAAAATTTCGTCCAAATCTGAGCGGTACTTTCCAACCTGTAACACACAGACAGGCTTACCGACCGATCGACATACCAACTAAAATGAGTGACGGTTTTTCATCATATAAAGAAAACCAAAAGCTTAACAGACAAGATTAAAAATCGCTTTAAAATAATGTAATCTCAAAATACCCATTGAGATGTTGTAAAGCAAGGTTTAAACGTTAATTTAGATACTAGGCGAAATCAAAATTTTCTACCCAGTTTTTAAGCATTAAATATATTAATCAACTAGGTATACCCATTTTAGGCCTTTTCAGACATTAAATCGCTTATAATACGAGCATAGCCAGCTTTAGAGAAAAGTTAATTTATTTAAGCAAATTTGATCTGAGTTACTGTGCGGGTATATTCAACTCTTGGAAATTCGATGAAACATTGTAATTTTTGAGGTCGCCAATTTTCTAAATTGAAGATAAAAACCTTGATCTACAACACCTTGAAGGGTATTTTGAGACTAGTTTATTTTAAAGCCATTTCAGCCTTTTTATCAAGCCAAAATCGACTAGCCTTTGGTTTTCGCATACTGTACATCTCATATAACTTGTAAAAAATATAATATCTCATTTTCAAAATGTTTCGCTATTACCATACTTCCTTGCCAGTATGCGTGGGAAGTAAAAACGATAGGTGGTTCCTGATGCAAAAATAAAATAAAAAAATCTCAACTGTCTTGTAAAGCCTCATACCATACCACATTCAGTTGAAAAGTATGTCAAGAAAACGTTGAACGGTGATGTCGAAGGTCCTCAGAGTTCCGAAGGGATATACCATATTGGTACCACCTCTTCGGCATTTTTATGGTGACAGTAATAGTATTAGTAATAACCATGGACTGCCTAGCATGCCACTTACTCCAGGAAAAATAGTGATACTTGATTGATCCATACGAGTATGTTACAATAAACGTAGATACCCATGCAACCGCGTACCCAGAAATAAGCTCTAGGCTATGAGCCAATTTAAATTTGCAGCGCTTTAAATGGCATGAACCGACGGCGGATAAAAAACGTATTATCTCAAATTTGAATGTTCTGGTGGTCACAATACCTTCTTCTCTTATGTGTCACACGACTGCCGCCAAAACAGTATGTATCGCTGCAGCCATGAGCCATTGGTTTCTGATGTGCTCCAAAAGAGACCATTAGAGCCTGAACACACATTCAACCGCAGTAATCATCGAGTAATTTGGTTACTATCCCCGAAGTAGCCCAAAAATAGTTGGGAAGAATGCCTGATGGACGAATTCTCTAAATATTTTGGACAACTTGTAGAATTCTATATTAACCAAGAATTAACGTGTGTTTTGGCTTTTCATCTCATTAAGCCAGCTCCAAAAGCAGCGTAGCCTCAAGAAATACATACTCTGAACGGCCCATTTACCGGGCACTGCTCTCGCGAATGTCACCTCAAGATAAGTAAAGCAAATAGCAAATTCTAAGTTTAAAGTAGGCGTTCATGGAATGAGGACTTATCTTATAACTGTTATACAATACTAAGCGCGAATAGTAACGGTGAGATTCCGTTCTCTGTATACTTATACATACGATCTGTAATACGACTACCAACACGAATATACGACTCTCTACGACATACCTCGAAGATATAACTGAAGGTTACGATGTGAAGAAGGTAAACATGTTCCGTCATCTCTGTATAGGTACACGTAATTATGCATATACCGGGTGTTTCAGATTCGATTTTCACCATCGGCGTTAGGATATCGGGAATGGTCAGAGATACCAAGTTGGTTGAATAGCACCAAAATTGTTTAGATAACTAAGGAGTATTTCTGGATACAGACGAAAAACCATAATGTCCAAAATGATTTTTAATTTTTCCTGATTCTATTTGAGGTCGGATTTAAAAGTAAATAGCATTTGAACATTTCCTCTATTTCTACTTTACAAAAACCTCTATATTTGTTTCGTCTGCTGCCCTCATTCATTAGCTTTTTTTTTCTTCGTGAATAGTTTTTAATTCAGAAAGTGTATAATACGTCATGTATCAATACTGTAAGGTGATAATTATTAAAACACATAATTTTCTAAGTAGCCTTAAAATTAGATAGTCATTTGCTTTTATGAACTATGCGTAAATGAGTAGTCCGTGTTTCCAATTCTAATAATGTGATATTGTACATATCGTATTCAGATGTCTGAAACAGTAGTCTTCCTATAGTTGGTTCCAACTCATCCAATTAAGAACAAGATAATGCTGACTTTTCCATATTATCTAAGTGTAGTAACGAGAACATTTATAACAGTATAATTTGGAAAAACTGATATAAACATTTTAGAGGGAGTAAAATCCTTAACGATGTAGCAAGAACTTCAATACATATACGTCATATTTAAACCAATACACACATCTTACACCTCAATATAATATTCATATACCGCTGAGGTGTCACGTAGGGGTGCCACATCATGCTAAAATAACGTTTGTTATAATCGTTAAATGGGAAAATTGCCTGAACGTCCTTTCACACGCTTCTCCAAAACTAAATCAATTTTTAATTGTTAAGCTGTCAATTTAAATTTCAACTAAGAAAATATTATTTTTTTTTCAATAACTAAGGCATGGAAATATTACTTTTGGATATATAATGAATAACTCTATTCACCCGTGCAAAAATCCAATAAAGGTCCCATAAGGAAAAATATCACAGGTCGACAGTATTAAATACTGAGGAGTGACATTAAGCAGAACTGGATCAATTGAATAGGAAATAGAAGATAGGATAGGTAAAGTAGCTCAAGTTTATCAAAGTTGGGTCCTTCCTAAACACTTAAGCAGGATAGTAAAGTCAAGGGTATCACAAGAAGAGATAAAGTTAGAAATGACGTCGTTAGAGAGGAACTTGATGTGGAATCCATAATTTAACTTCAATGAAAAACAGCAGCTCAAGCGGTCACCTAAACAGGATGATAGAAAACAGATCAGAAGACACATATGCGAGGAGAAGACACAGGGAGAAACCGACGAGGAAGACCTAGGAAAAAGTGGAGTGACAAAACTGCTGAAATTGGAAAAATGAGAGATTGCATGGACCGAAACTAGAGAAACGGTAAAAACAAGAGACAATGGATATCATTTGTTGTATGTAATGTATGTAATTTGATCTTGTTATTAGCCTTATACCTTACACTACAGGCTTTTCGATTATGTATATAAGAACAAATGGCCTTAAGTAGATTTATTTTATACTTCTCAAGCCTTCATTTGAAATCTGCTCATTCTGAAGTAAAGGTCAAGGCATGATCATTCAAGTTGGTAATATCATAAATAGTTATATATCAAACTGTATAAAATAAATTAGTCATATTTCTGTGCCTTTACAAACAACGTTTTCGCATGTTCCCAAAGTTTATGATCCATTTGGGCATAATGAAAAAACTTCTTATCAAAGTTAAGGTTTTGAAAAATTACCAACTGTAATTTTCATCATTTTACAGGGTTATAATCGCGTTAATACTTGAATCATGACATATATGTATTAGGATTCATCAAAGATTATAACTATATTGTGGTACAACTACGGAAAACTTTCTTCAGAAATTCATAATGAATACGTAGGTAAAAGGAGTTTGAAAATACGAGTAGTTGTATATAAATGAATGAGAAGTACTGAGTCAATAGGCTTGACATTTCCTCCCTGTATTATGCCAATGTTTTCCGTTATTACGGGGGCCAGAAGCCTATTAATGATAGACGATTTTCCACTGATACCAAAGGTGCAACATTTACAACCCCCCTACCTGCTAAAGCCCCCAAAACTCAATGTTCAACCCCTACAAATTTTTTAACGAAATTACGAAGCTTGAGCAATGTGATGTAAATGTTATATAACATTCAATGGGAATAGTTTTCCCATTTCGGAAACTTTTCACGTTTGCAGTACTTCCTCGCCAGTGGCGTAGAAGTAAAAATAATGTTCATGATTAGGGAATAAAGCCAAGTAAAAACATTTTTTCGTCTCCAGAAATACCTACTCTGACTTGCGAATCTTCCTAAGTACAATCTTTTTCGTTACCTAAATACTCAACTTTACCTCCATTTAACCAATTCCGTTTTTCTCTTACCGTTTCCGAAATCCCAAGTGAGAGTCGAATTTCTAAGAAACGTCTATTTTTTGTGCATATTTTCCAGTAGCTAGTCGCTCTTAAGGCGATACTATCACCCAAATTCCAAAAAAAAAAAATATGACGGAAAGGATTGTTGTCTTTGATGCTTCTTTTATATTTCGTTTTTTACCCGCCACAAAGGCCCAGTAACCTTCATGGGTGCCATGGAGCTATAGGAGCAAAACGAAAAGTTGCTAGCACATGTGCACGTGACACACACACCCTCGCCCCAGCGCCGTAATTCACTGGGTGCCACAACAATCGACGTCCAACACCTATAGAGACAATTATTATAGAATAAAGTTTACATTTAAGACGAGAATCACCGTCGTCAAGGAATTGAGGCTTTTGGTTAAAAGTCTCGGTTCACATTGTCACTCAAGCAGGTCCCAAAGCCGCGCGGAGTTCGGGAGCACAATGACATACTGCGAAGCGAGCAAGAACTTTGTCTAGGTTTTTTTGTGAAAGTGCTTTTAGTATAATTTTGGCACGTTGATAAAAAGCTTATATTCGTACGTCAATAAAATTTTCACAGGAAATCGACTATCCCTTTGAATAAAATCTACAATCGTGTAAACAATGAAAACATGAAAGAGAACAGTTTTTGTTCTGCTGTCTGACCTTCCTATAATGCAATACATTGAGACTCCAGTGGCGTGGCTGGCTTATTTTTAAATCCTGAAAAAAGTGACGTCTATTAAAAGATCTTGTTCCAGCCGACAGGACTCCAAACAGGACGTGTCTCGTGCTGCTTATCACTTTGTCTTATATTAACTAAAATTGGGGAAGATTCATAATAAAAATGTTCTGTTTGTTCATATTGACCGTCGTGTCAGTCACCATGACTGATACTACATACCTACTTTTAACTTGTTACTTAGCACTGTCAGTCATGAATTCTCTGTTAAATTTTTATATTAAGTTTGCCTGACGCACCCAGCCGCCATCTTGAAATTTTAAACAATTATTTTTACGTTAGAATGTAGAAATTATGCATCAATTTCATTATCTCGAATATCAGCTTGCTGACTTCCCGTTCAAAAAATAAATGGGGGCTTTCTGGGAAGCACTGTAAATACATGACTGTATAACAGATTGAAATGGTGGAAATCCATGCTGGATGATTTTTATCAGTTCATGTGTGAGTTTGTTGCACTATATTCCATCATCCCACATCCACATGCTTAAGCTACTAATATATATTTGCTCTTTGTGAGAATATCTCTGCATAAATTGATACGTAGGCATTGTTGTCAGCACGCCATGAAACAAAGGCTATTATGCTCTGAAGCGATTATCCAACGAGTGGATATTAAATAGGCGCATACATAATGTTTGGTATTTGTCACATTAGCAGTGAGTTCACTCATATCAATGAACTTAATCACTTATGTACTGAGTAGGAAAGTATCTTATATCATGCTCATGTACCCTGTATATACTCGTTTTAAGATGACGTCAACTTAACATATTTAATTTAGATAGCTCTGCAAAAGTTCTCATTCAGTCGAGATTTGCAGGCAATTGGCAAAGAGCAGGTTTATCCTATAGCCGCAACTGTATGCATGAACCTAGCCAGGCGCCGCGTTATACCTTGCATTCTGAACGGCAGTGGCTACCCTCCTACAGATTTAGCTTCCTTAGTTGCGCTCGATGTAGGTATCGACAATATGTTTATCGTTCTAGGAAAATTTAGGGGGAAATCTATTTGTGAAATATGTATGGTGGATGCGCAGGTATAATTTACCGGGGTTACAACCGTATAAATAGATGGATAGATAAAAAAATGAGTCACACCGTTCCCCACTCCCCTGCAACCTCCCCACTGATAATTTTTTATTCCTCAATAAATGATAAATTAAATGAGCAGAGGTCCCTGAAATCTCAAAAATGAAGACTTTCATGAATTGCAAAGCTTTTTCATCCATAGCAAAACGAAGATACAGTATCAAAATAACTTAAAATCCAAACAACGGAGCTTTTTACGAATAAAATACCCCAACAGAAATTCATGTGCTATGGTGTGCAAGAAAAACAGTTGAAACATTACAAACCTACGTACTGCGTTTCGTGTCTTTTTTGATGTAACCGAAATCGATAGGGGACAAGTTAAAAAAATTTGCTATCAAAATGACTATATTTCCAAATTGGCGGAAACAGTTTATGGAAACGAGCATCATAGTCTATAAAACAGCATTGAAATATTTTGCTTAGAGGTGGTTCATTCTATGGAAATCAATGATACATTTTTTCAGATAAAAAATAAAAATATGACTTTCGAGACATTATTATACTGGAAGAAAAAAAGCTGCAACATTGCATTGGAGCTAGTCCAGCTAAATCAACTAAACGGCTTAATTGCTTTCCACGGACATCATCATATATGGGACGTCAACTTGTTACTAGGTTTTCAAAATGTCGTTGGACTATAAGGTGCTTTTATAAAAACTGACTTCCAGTGGCGTTTTTCATGAGCCTATCTCCAAAATGAAGCGGTATTTCGAAAATCGTCAAAAAAATAAATAGTTTTATAATTAGAACAGTCCAAAGAAACACCCCTTCAATTTTTGACCCATGTTTTGGAATTACTAATTGTTCCATAGAGAGCTACAGCTAAATTGCAGGTTTCGGTGAGTGCACATTATAGCACAGGATCCCATGTATGACGAAGTCTTAGGTTATAGATATATCTAGGCAGGCCTAAGTTCTGTGATAAATCCTTGATCATCCATAAAGTCCAAAATTTTGTCAATCTGCCTGCCGAACTTAGCGATGAATCTTTCATTTAACATGTGATCCCGGACTACAAATTTATTCTCTGACGATAGCGCTTAATGCGCAAGTTCTCTGTAACAATGCATATTGAGAATGAAGCACCATTATGATTTGCGATATGTATAACCGGAGCTCCCACCTCTATTCCAACACTGATGGTAAAATATCACCGCAGCGTTTACGATTGAATCCACGCACGGCTTTGCACCGGTTATTGTTCCACTGCACTCATAATTAATAGGTAAATATTAGAACGAGACAGATAAACACACACGCACTAGAAGTACTCAACGTTCGTGATTATGAGAAGGTACAATTTCTTTCTTTGTCAGGAGTACCCAACGAATTCCCGGTAAAACCGTACCGCGAACGGTCGTAGTCGTGACTCTTTGTGTAAACTGGTTTAAGTTTATGAAGGTCTTTCAGCTCAGCAGCTCATTCGACGTCTTTAGTTTATTAAACATGGACCGTTATGGTGGTGGGCCTGCGAGTGGGATATTTCATGTCGCTCTTCCAAATCTGCATCTCAAAAGTAGACTGTGTTGAGCTGGTTGACGCTTTTCCATGGATTATTTTTTACAAAACTATAAATAATTTAGGGTATAGTATATTTCTAAGGGTATATACTCGATTTTTTCTAAAATATCTCTCTAATATGTGTAAGATGGGCCTCTAAACCCGATATTGAATCAAGAAGTTCTTCATATACCACCTGGTTTAGCTACAAAAACAATTTTTTGTTGTTAAGCTCCGTGTCCACTTGCAAGTAACTTGTGATAGTTTTTGCAGCAAGTACTTGCTTGTTTGTCTACAGTATTTTTTTATTGTTCGCAAATTTAATCTAGGAAATTGCTCTTGCAATTTCACTTGGTCTTGATTGCTCTGATTCCGTGTACACTATAGATGTTTACAAAATGTCGTCGTATGCAAAATCTGTAGCTGCTGCGGTAGTTCTGATATATTTAATTAATGAAAAGAAACAAAAACAAGAGAAAGATATTAAAAGGCAAAGAACATTTTGGGTGAGAAAGTGGATTCAGCGTATAACTACTCTAGGAATACATGAAAAGTTGCTTACTGAATTGAGAAATGAAGATCCGATGCAACTTAAAAATTTTTTGCGAATGTCGGCAGAAGATTTTGATTTTTTGCTTAATTTAGTGAGAAACAAAATAAGCAGGAAGAATACAAAAATGCGACAGGTGATCAGTCCGGAGGAACGTTTGTCCTTAACACTTCGTTTTTTGGCAACAGGTAATACTTGTTCATTAAAATTAATAATTTAAGCTCAAATATATTTATTTTCATATTAACATAAACATAGTATCAACTTCATGTATTTGTTTCTTTTTAGGTGACTCCTATCATTCTCTTATGTACTTCTATCGAATTCCTGTAAGTACAATCGCAAGGATTGTTTCCCAATGTTGTGCGGCAATTCACGAGGTGCTACAAAAGGAATATTTAAAGGTATGCAAAGTATTTTTACCTTTTTTTTATTATTTTACCTGGTTGAGGTTGATCAGAATAGGTATTATTGTATGACTGCAATGTATGAAAATACTGTGAATTTGAGCTACTTGTGTCATATACTGGAGATACAAGCGGGATCCAAACCGATGTTGATAAGGAATGAGTTTCTTCCTGATCAGATAACTCTAAAACTTGCGAAATATCTCTTTGTATCATTCGTTTCAGTTTTGTAGGTGATCGGAGCGTAGGGAACGGAGCTCTGATGCTACATAATCTCCAAATATTTGAAAGTCATCTACAGGCCGTTCCATAACTTTAATAGCTTTAGCTAAAGTAGTGTCATCCTCAGTTTCCTTACTCTTTCTTTTTACAGCCTTTTTAGAGCCATTTTGTTCTTTGGCGATTCTTGAATTATGTTTTCTCTAAATATTGATGAATGTTGCGTTTCTGTTTGTGAAGCATTTTTGGAACCTGAAAAAAATTATTTACCTTACTTACTTTTTAGGTACCAAATACTCAAGCAGAATGGATTAACATTGCCAATGATTTTGAAAATATGTGGAATTTCCCGAACTGTGTGGGCGCCTTAGATGGCAAGCATATTGTTATGCAAACCACGCCTTGTAGTGGAATCTATTACTTCAATTATAAAGGCACATATAGTATAGTTTTAATGGCGTTGGCTGATGCAACGTACAAATTAACTTATGTAAATATTGGTTGCAATGGCAGAATATCAGACGGTGGCGTTTACAACAATTATTCTCTGTCCACATGTTTGGAAAATAATACCATATATTTGCCCCTCCAAAGCAGCTTCCAGGAAGAGAAAATATGTCGCCGTTTGTTGTTGTAGCTGCAATGAAACCATATTTGCTTAAGCCATATCCATTTAAAAATCAACCAGGACCAAATCGCGTATATAACTTCAGACTGTCCCGTGCAAGAAGGATCACTGAAAATGTTTTTGGTATTATGGCAAATCGTTTTCGGGTATTAAGAAAACATATACAGCTTATACCCAGAAAAGTTACAAAGATTGTGTTGGCAATATGTGATCTTCACCAGCAGGAATGTTTGATGTAGAAAATGATAATGGAAGTGTTCTAAATGTCCAGCGGCGGGAAGAAGGACTACCATTAAATAATTTATTGTCACTCAATAATAAAAACTGTCACAATGGCTCGGAAAATGCCAAAACGGTTCGTGAAGAGTTTAAGGATTATTTTATTTCACCTGAAGGTGAAGTGCCGTGGCAATACAAATACATATAATAAAACAAATTGCATACCTTACTTATAATAAAAAATAACTGAGTCTTAATATTTAAGTGTTTTTGTATTTGAATTGCAATAATAAACGTGCTAATAAAATTTAAGTTTAACTTACCAGATTATCTTCCGTAGTATTCTGTATCTTTGCGTCAATTATAAACTTTAATGAGTTATATAACTCCCAAGTACTCTTATATATTTCATTAGTCCCTTGTCCACTTTTCTTTGAATTATTCTCCACTCTTGGTTAACTTGCGTTCTCAAATTATGTAGCTTCCTTTGAATTTCCGCTGTAGGCGTATTAAATAAATCGGCCAATTTTTATAATGCATTTTGCTTTTTAATTCTGTCCTTAAATTCTGTAGTATGTACATTCCATAATTCTCAATATAATTCAAAATTTTCAATTAATAGACACGTGTCTTCTCTCGTCCAATTGAACTTCTCCATATTTTATTTACAACACTATTCCTCTTGCTGCAAAACTTTCGAAACAGTCTCGAAATTATTTTAAGCAAACTAACTTCCTGAGAGTAACTGTGTACACTACAAGCACAGCAAGAGTCAAGCCCCGTACGTGCAAGTAATTTTGCTGCAATATTTCTCTAATGACGTCGTGCACACGCTACGCAAGTGACTTGTGAGATTAACTCTAGCAAGATTATTTGCTCGTGGACACGAAGCTTTAAAGTAACAAACATTTTTTGGTTAATACATGTTTACTGTTATTATCTTGGCAGCACTACAAATGCATCAACTATCAATAGTAGAGGAAAACGAATACTAGATATAGAGCTGGAAGGATGCGTTCGCAAATATTCACATGTGTTAATTAGGGTGATTCATCGGTATGAGGAATCTGTTAATCAATGCATAAACACATTATTCACACCAGAACTTGACATCTTAATTTGTTACAAGCATGAAATGAATATGTGGTTGTAGTATGTAGATCAAGTTCGATGGTTCGATCTCACGATGTACGAAAAATGACATCACGCTTGTTAGTGCGACTTGGTTAGAAAAAGAGTTAGTTCAAATGTCGCTACGATCAGTGCGACCTGAGCTTGAATGTGATGCTGAGTCGTTTCTGACTGAATGTTTATAAATCAGATTCAAAAAACGAAAACAATTACAGGGACACTTCATATGCAGTCATTAAAAAGTAAGGTTATGGTGTCATCGCATTATGGGCTGTCACAGTGGGATAGTGATGGGCATCAGCGAAGATGTGCATTGCACAGCTGCACTTTGGTCGGTAATAATTATATATCGATACCTGACCTCCTATCGAATATACTGGTTCATATCATATAACAATGATATGTATACTTTTATGGAATCCAAATTTCTTATATTCGGAAAAACAGAATGTCGCAAGAGAAATTAAAAAAATATGAGTAAAGTTAATTTCATCTGATCATTTGTGTTTATTATAGGTTCAAATTCATTGATAACTGTGACGAGTAGCAAGAAGTATTTCCAGACACTAATTTATTCTTACAAGTGTAGAATATCGATGTTGAATAAAATAAAATGGATCTGCCGGCGAGGTATCCCATTAAATTAGGGAAAAATCAGCTTTAACCTCATTGACCTGCATTGATTACCTACCATAAATATCGTTATCATCTATTATAATTCACAAAATAGTAAAAACCTGAAAAGCGTTTTCGAATATCGTTATTAGATATCTGAATTCCAATGCACACCTCATCTCAAGTCGACAAAGGGGTACAAGAAAAAAGGATTTCACATGTTGCAGCGTTTATGTTATTACACACCTTCCTTTTTGTCTTGTAATCTCTTTACTGGCTTCCACCATTTTTTCTAAAATTTTACAGAGCAAAGGCAACGGTATACATTCGTCTAAACCAGATAAAGGTGTTTAAAATAAGTGAAACCCAGAAACATCTCTATTTACCTTGAAGGACGACATGCGGATTAGGTTCAGCAGCAAAAACATGTGATAGTGGAAGATACTTAAGGAGTTTGTTGAAATCTACACCTAACTGACAATGGATATATCCTTTTTTCAATTTTTCCAGGTCTTTATGATTGTTTTGAATTTGGTTCTATCATCTTCAAGTGGGTTTATGATACTTATTTCCGATTGGCCAATTTTCGATGCATTTTTACGAAAACGCTTTGTAATTGATCATTGTTGATCCGGGTCATAGGTTTTGATCTTTTGATTGAGTGGAAAGTATGGTTTTATAGCTAAGCCAGGTGATTTATAAAGAATTTCTTGATTTAATATGGGGATCCCTTCTTACACAACTCGTATATTTTTTCGCTAGTTTGACAGATATTTTAGAAGAAATCGACTATATTCATTTGATCTATTACTACAAAGACGCCTTCTCATTGGCCTATTATGATCCGGATCAAGATTTTAGATCCTGTGGATCACTAGTAAAATCGGGCCTTAGTCTCAGTCGATAGTCCTCTTTCAGACTAAAGCGAAAACGCAACTGGGGTACATTTTGCAAGTTCGCACTGTCATCGCACACACAGCGAATATCTAATCCTTCAGAATGGAAGCAAAAATTCTATCTTCCCTATTCTGCTTCCTTGCCGTGGCAAATGTAAAAAGTATGAACCTTATATGATCTGAAGTGGCGATAAAGGCGCCAACAAAAAAATCGATGATTATCCTTCATAGTTTGAGCAAAACATCCAAAAAGCTGGTAATTATCTGCTGACTTATACGATCAACCAGAACGAACTTTAAAAGGAAAGTTTTGAATGTATCAGGCATTTTAATATTGCTATTGGGTTTTCCCCCGTCGTAATTCACGCGTTTCTCAAGTTTATGGTAATTTCATGGCATCATAAGATATGGTCAAGGAGCGTAAGCATTATTGTGGTCGTTTGGACTCAGTAAGGACTTTTTGATCAACGATGTCAGAGATGAGCCACAGATTTCGTGGTTCCAAAAATTACTTCATATCAGATATATTAGTTATAGTTGTTGCAGCTCTGGTGTTATTTGGAAGTGCCTGTTTGTTCAAACCGAGCGTGATTTCTCGTTCTCTTTTATTCATTTTAGAAGATATTCATACAGGTGAGGGAATTTCACAACTGGGCATTCTTGCCTTCATCAGCAAGATAAGAATGACATGCTAATATGGGACGGACATCGGATTGTATTTAAGGACATAATATATATTCTTTGCTGTAAAAGTTGCCAGCCGTTTTTACACTTGCTTATTGACCTACTTGTATAATCCATAAAGTGATTAGGCAAGCGCAAAAGGTATTGCGTGTAATACTTTACATCTCAGCGTAATCCACCATGTTTGTATGGCCGCTAAATGAAACCCCACACTATAACGTATATCCTGAAGGTTTTGGCACAAAAGTCATTGGCTTTAATTTCAACAAACACAGAATGAGATTAAGTTGCCTTTGGAAACAAAAGTTTGTTTACTTACTTTACTATTAGTTGACATTTATTTATTTTGAAGCTTTCGCTTTAAGATGTCATATAAATTTGAAATAAGAAAAAGTATCTACAAGTTGGGCGGGTACCGAAAGCTGAAATCTATCGAATATTCCAGAATGAAGACATTTCACGCAGAACCATTTATCGAACAATAGTGTAATGTGAGCAGGGAATACCATGTTTGAATATCCCAAAAAGTGGTTTCCTGCACAGAGGTCAGAGAGATTGGTGAGAAGAGCAAAAAATCAGGTTCGAATGTCAGCAAGGAGACTGGCTCCTCAATACAGATCTTCTAAAAGTATGATATCGTTGGAATTTAGGAGGAATGGTCTTAAATATCGAAAGAGACTTAAGTGTCCCAAATACTATCAAGCGCAACTCCTTCGTGCACCAAGATGCTGTCGTCAACTGAGGCGGGTACACTTTGCCATTGGAAAAACCAATATTATAGATGACGAAAAGTATTTCACTTTGAGTAATTCAGAAATGAAGGGAAACGACAGATTTTATACGGACAAACTAGAGGAGTGCCCTGGCAATGTTAGATACAAACATAAAGCGAAATTTGCAGATGAAATCGTTGTCTAGTGCACAACTTCTAACAGGGATCTCAACATTTTGCGGGAAGGGTGAGAGGTGAAGCTTTGAATATTCAGAGCTATACTGACAACTGCCTTCCCAAATTGCTTCAGTTTGTTCGCGAACACCATGCTAGTGACCATATCATGTTTTGGCGAGACCTAGCATCATGCCATTACTCAAGAGATACCCAAAACGGGCTTTGACAAAACAACATACCTTTTGTTCCCAAAATCGATAATCCTCCAAACATGCCGCAGGCTCATCCAATAGAGGATTTTTGGGCTTTACTGTCTAGGAAGGTTTATGATGGAAGCTAAGAAGCCCATGATGAAGAAAAATTAAGACGGCGATTTTACGAAAAACTGAGAGAAATTGAACGGAATTCCGTCCAGAACCTCATGAGAGACATTCGAAGAAAGTTGCGTCTGGTAGAGCACCTAATTCGATAATATAGTTCAGTTAAGTATTGAGTTGTAATTTATGCTGACTAGTAGGTGCTTAAATAAATTTCTTCATAAAAAAAATCCGATAAATATTTTGTGGCAAAACTTTTAGGACACACGTTACTTGAAGGAATGTTTACGCAGTCCGCTGGTGTAACTAAGGTGTCATGTAAAGGTGCTGTAAGACTTACAAAAATTCATAAATTATTTTATATAGACATAATTTTGCTTCAATTACTTTAAACATTTGAACAGCGGGAGTAATATCTTAATTATCCTAATAGTTCAGCCCTATGCGTAGCAACAGAGTATCCTAAGACTAGCAAAAACGATATACTTTAAATACAGGATGTTCTAAAAGTAACAATAATAGTATAGAATGTCTTTCAAAATACCTCTCCTCCTTGAAGGAGTAACTCCGAAAATAAGAACTAGGAATGATAACATTTCAGGACATGACTATATTTTAGTTTAAAAATCACACTTCCTTTTAAAGTACTTATTATTAGATATGGCCGACATGGTTATTTTTGAGTATCGGTTATTATCTATTATCAGTGATTTAAAAGAATGACGTGATCATAACCTTAACGATGGGTGAGTTCCGCTGATCCGTCGCAGGGGACTGATCGCACCTAGAGCTATGTAGAAGCACATCCCAGTGGAATGTAAAATATACCTAATTATTTCTAACATTGTTCAATATTTGTTAAAAGTCTTGTGTGTATACTATCATGCGTAGGTATAGACAGGAAATAATACTTTGGCTGGAACTTGACTAAAATGCATAATTGATGTTACACGTGCTTATTTGGGCATCTGACTGAATCGTCAAGAGATCATAGTAGCCTATAAGAAAAAGTGTTCATGAGTATACTGATTTTCTGAGCAAAACGTGTTGCTTGCCGGATTTCTCTATCTTTATCTGAATGTAAAAACATCAAATATGGCGTTTGTTTTGGTTAATATCCAGATTATCAACGCTGATGCTTTCAGAGATATTTCGCAAAAAATGAGCATAGAATATAAAGCATCACAATCAGTAGCTGTATGGTATACATGAGATGTATTGTGACTATTGTGGGAGATGCGGAAGTTAGGCTGTGAACTTAACATAGCGGCATGTTGTAGTTGGTAGACTATTTAAAATTGCATGTCTGGATTCAACCTCTTTACCATACTTGTAGTTGGCACCGTTATACTTCTGAAGTATGGAAGGCCGACAAATTAAAGGCATAGAACTGAGCCTACAAATTAAAAATGACTAGCTTATTTACAAAGAATTATGAATTACATTAGTGTTTTATGTATTGTTTCAGGATTATCAAGAAGCATTAGAATGAAGTGAGACACCTGTGTTTTGCAACACACAACATCAATTTAAAATGAATCTATCTATATGAAAATATAATACAATTTTTATACCATTGTCAACAGCATATAATTATTCTTTGAAACTAAATATATTTGGTGCTTCGTAATTAGGGTTCGATTTTATTATTTTGAATCTTGTTCTTAACAAAACTGCTGGAAGATATATCACCCTTATTGAGGATATTTTATAAATACCTATATGTTCATGAAATAATTCTCCAATATCGGAAATATCATTTTCAGCAGATTTCAAATTATCAACAAACGAAATCTCAGACACATTCCTAGCATTCCTTATTCCAGGCGCATTCTTGGCATTTTTTCGATAGTTCCTCCAGATTTCCAGGCAAGTAGGCGGCGCAACCATCTGACAAACGTCAACAGTGTTGCCATTGTTTAACGTGCAGCTCCCACTTCTTCAGTGTTTTGTGACTAAAACCACCTAAAACCTATAAAGGCAACCTATTGCAACAATAGGGACTTTTCGCAAAACTCTTAGGGAAGCGACGTAGGCGCAAACGCTATCCGGTAAAGCACATTACGTATACGTTATGTTAATCGGTTGTGGATACTTTTCGCAACAGCATGAGAAATAACGTGGACATAACGTTAAATGTGTGACCTTAAAGCTGTACCCTACAACGCTACAACCTCAATACTTTGGCTGTAAAGGTGTCTTTGACGAAATGAAGAACTTCTTCATTTGACCGCTATAGGGGCAGTGAACAACGAGGAGTTGAAGACTGGGATTTTGCACAGCATTCTCAACAGACAAGTTCCCCGTTCGCTTGACTTCTTTCACAGTACACATAATACAAACTTTATGAACAAAAATGAAAACCACAGGCCAACCGATTTTTTTTCAAATTAAGAAAAATCACCCATTAACGGCTCATAACCTCAAATCATAACGATTATCGCCCGATTGCTTCCGGGTATCCACGAAACGATCATATACCGCCTCGCCCTAAGTATTCTCAAATTACGCTAGGCGGTAACGTAATTAGTGCCCGCTATCATGAAACCCACAACTGAGCATGCGTATCTGTCAAAATAACCTGCCTAGAAAATACCGCAGCACGTTAAGTGCGAAAACTCCCTATTCAAACATTAGCGCTGTGATCATGTGATACCGTTCGCCGTTGCCGTGAAGCGCCCAATTCCCAAAATCGTGATCACGCCATGCATTTTCACAGTATTCAGTAAGAATCACAGTTCGTGAAATATCTGTCACCACTCTATTTTTTACGAGTATCCATTACCTTTTGATGTCTACTGATGTAAACAATTTATTAGGAAGTGAGCATGTTGTATTAAAGTCTTTAGTGTTAGTAATAATGATTCAGGTGTTAATCAGGTAAAATTCGGGACCGTATTCAAAACTGTTGATACCAAATACTGATCAATCTTTTTCACATAACCAGATACTCTAAGTGACTGAAAATTTTGACAACAAAATATACGATATGAATAGAAAAATATTGATCAGAAAATTATAATAGTATATCTGTGATTTATTGATTACGAAGTCGTTTGAAGAACCGGATGGTCCTTTCTAGTAGCTGTAATTTCACCTGTAAAAAATATTGACGTTGGAAGTATTTCTGGTTAATTGATCTTCATCCGTGTAACGTAATTGCATTGTAAATGCAGGTGAAGTAAGAGCAAAAACATACAGAAAGATTAAAAAAATAATAATAAATTAATACATCTTGAGGAAAACACCAGTGACATTAAAGAATAGACCTTCCACGATACGTCAACTATTCTATTATTGCAGACACCTGCCCTTTCACAATCATTCCAAAATATTTGGGGAACATGTACACACATTACACTCAAATCCATAGAGGAAGATTAATACAGTCAAAAACTGTTTGACTAGTCTAATTCCTACCTAACTTGGAATGTAGTCATGATCATTAGCAGCCATTTTGCATGTAGCGTTTTTCTTGTGCGTGAAGGAATTTTTCTAAATAAAGGCGTTGTTGGGAAAAACAATATGAATCCCTAGCGTAAAAAACAACAATCTAGGACTGCTTACTGTTGACGGATCTATCAGAATTGTGTGTCACACAATTTTGAAAGGTTACCAGATAATTAGCTGTTATTTGCTGTCACGGTTGACTCAGTGGTTATTCGTGACAAATAATTTACCTATCAGGAGCTATAAAAATAAGTATCACGACTCAGTAAGTAAATCAATGTATTATTGATCTTACTGAAAGTTTAAGTGTCTAGCAACAAATTACTGAAATGCCTGACTTTTCTGGGTTACCCAATCCTGGAAAATGTATAGATTTAGCCGGTTCAAAATGTGTCGTCCTTCTTTAAATTAAAAACATAATCATGAATTAAGACATTATATAAATATCATTCTCAGGCTGTGTTGTAATCAAGATTTCTTATGGTGAAGAAAATTGACACGCAATATCTATGCAGTGTATATTTTATACAGAGATCGTGGAATATGAATTGTAATTATACTTTTCTAGAGCATGACGTAAGCAACTATTTATTATTCCCCTATTGAGCGGGGCCGTAGCAAATGCTTGTTCCGGAAGTTGTTGTATCCAGTATACAACTTCATCCCGTTCAAGTGCTTGTACACGCGTTAAGGAATACCTCAGTACCGATTGCCTGGTGGCGGTACAAGTCCGCCAATGGGCCACTTTAGGTCTATTTAATATCATTAACATGCAAAAAGAAGGTGGTAGACAAGGACCACTCGATCGAGGCGGTACCACCCGCCAACTTTTCCCAGGGTGTCTTATAAATGTCAGCATGTTTCCACACATAAGCTATGCGGTCGGTTATCTTCCAAAACAAAGAAATTAATGATGATGGATCCCTCGAGCACTAAGAATTCCGGACGTAAACTCACTCCACTCTCGGAATGTCCGGGTGGAGGATGGGCTCAAGAGAACCACATCGAAGATAAAATTTGTTTTACGAACATCTGCAGGACTAACAGCAACACTAATGTTGTTCATCACTACATGCAATCCAATCTCCCTTCATGCTTTTCTTGGCGGAGACAAAAATCTCAGAAGCTGTACCGATTAACCATCTTAACATCCCAAATTACGAGGAACAATCCAATCTGAAAAAGAACGGGGGAGTTGTGGCTTTTGTCCGCAGCAGTCTTTCCTGCTCCAGAGATGTTTCTTTGGAATCAGACCGGAAGGACATTCTGTGGCTTCGCCTCAACCCCAAAACATCACCCAAATTTTTTTGCTGCCTTTATCGCTCTCCCTCGGACCATAACTGGGATGACCTTCTTGAATACCTCGCCGTCAAGATCGAATTTCTGAACATCAATCACCCCGATTGAGAAGTAGTTCTTCTCGGTTATTTTAATGCCCATAATGAGCTTTGGTTGGGCTCAAACAAGACCGATGCAGGTCGTACAGTCGAAGCGTTCGCTCTTACTCAAGAGCTGAGCCAGCTAGCGATGAGCCCCACTTTTTTCCCCCGCGTCTGGTCACATGCCAGTAGCCTGCCGGATCTCTCTCTGACCACGCATCCTGTCCCTTACAGCACTTCTGCCCTGTCCCCCCTGGGTAACTCAGACCACGGTGTTGTGGAGGTTAGGTTTCGGTCAAAACCCGCTGCGGCTGCACCAACTCGTACAGGCCGCAAAACCTGGCATTACGGACATGCCGAGGGGCTTAGAGACTTCTTCTCTAACTTTCTTTGGAGAGATGTTTGTTTCACTAACGTGGATGCGTCGGCTGTCTGTTCTTCGATAACCGAAATTATCCACGTTGGAATGGAGGAATACATCCCTCACACAGTGAAAGTGCTTAAGCCAGGGTCCAACGGCTGGTTTACAGATCGGGTGACACTTCTCGCCAGCAGAAGATCAAGGCACAGAGAACCTTCTTACAAAACCCTACTGTAAAGAACAGACAAGCCGACGTCCAGAAACAAATATAACGAAAATTTAGGCACAGGGTAATGTCCCAGCGCAATGGCAGTCAGTCTTTCTGGACACTGGCCAAGCAGATTGGAAAGAACTTCTCACACAGTAGCCTTTCACCACTTATGTGTCAGGATGGAACGATTGTATCCGACTCAAAGGCCAAGGCGGAAGTACTTGCCAAGATGTTTGCTGCCAACTCCACCATGGACGTCCCCACCAAGTGCCGTCAATTCAAAGGGTTCCCTACAGTATGCGGGATGTAACATTCAGGCATAAGACCGTAAGACCAGCGCTTTTGTCGCTCGACATCAACACAGCTTCTGGTCCAGACTTGATTTCTGCCATTGTACTGAAGAGGTATACAGCGGAGCTTGCTTCAGTTCTTTCGCGTCTCATCCAGATATCTTATGACTCCGGCACCTTCCCAGAAAACTGGAAATTTGCTCATGTCCAACCCATCCCAAAAGAAGGATCTGAGGCCGACCCTTACAACTATAGGCCTATAGCTCTGTTTTCTGTTATAAGTAAGGTAATGGAGAGGTGCATAAATCGCGAGCCTACCTAGAACGTCACAGCTTGATTGGCGACAGGCAGTATGGTTTCCGGCATCAACGGTCCACAGCGGACCTCCTAGCTTACGTCAGGCAATTGTGGAGTAAACTCGTCCAGTCCTATGGTGAGGCTCATGTCGTTGCTCTTGACATCACGAAAGCGTTCGATCAGCTGCGGCACGCTGCCCTCTTAAGCAAACTCCATCCTATGGCCTCCTAGAAAAGCTTTGCAGATAGGTGGCCAACATTATCTCTGGCCGCAAGATATTCGTCGTAATTGACGGGTTCTCCTCTTCATCCCACAACGTCAACGCGGGTGCTCCCCAGGGATCGGTCTTGGCTCCGACACTGTTCCTCTTATATATCAACGACCAACTTTCCTGCACGATCAACCTAATCCACAGCTTCGCTGATGACAGCACTCTACATGGACGAATTCAGAGTACAAGCCGATCTTTGCCGCTGAGCTCGAAAAAAGAAGACTAAGTGACGACTTCCTTTCTGACGAGAGACCTGGAAGTTATTACTGCTTAGTGACGCAGCAATCTTGTACAGTTTGATGCTTCCAAAGCACAGTACTACACTTTGACGAACAAAAAGCGTCCTATTGCTCATCCGGTATCAATGGATGGTCGAGTTCTGCCAAAGAGCCATTCATTTCGGCTGGTCGGAGTCCAAATCACCAAGGACCTGATCTGGCACGAACACATCTCGTCAATAGTGGCACCTGCTGGGAAAAAGCTAGGCTATTTATTCAGGGCTAAGAAGTACCTTTCTCCGCATGACCTTCTCACTCTATACAAGCCCAGATAAGGCCTAGCCTCAAGTATTGCTCACACGTTTGGGGTGCTGCCGCCCCGACTACATTATCTATGCTCGATGCTGTCCAGAGGAGGGCAGTCCGACTGATAGATGTCTCTTCTCTAACAGACAGTCTCGGGACCCTTTCACACCGGCAGCTGTCTGCGATCTAGCTCTTTTCTACCGCTACACCAGCGGGCTTTGCTCCTCAGAGCTCTATTCCATGTTTCCGCCGCGCGATGTTCCTCCTAGACAGACCCGCCTGGCCTTGATGTCCCATCCTAACCGTGTCGAACATCCAGAACTGGCCGATACGACCGCTCCTTTGTCCCGAGGGTGTCGAGATTGTAGAACAATCCCAGTTCTACTAACGAGTTCAAAAATCATATTAACAAAATTTCTTTGGGAACATCAGAGTAGCCGCGGTGTTCCGGCATTTAGGCTTCTGCTTCGACAAAAAAAATGATTTTTACGCCTACCTCTTCTCTTGTAGTAATTTTTAAACAATCCGATTTCTAAAGCAGTTTAATCAAATTACAAGACAATCGTTTAATTGAATTTATTAAACCATTTATTTAAATTGATTACACCAATTTATTAGAAATGAATGAACTGTTAAACTGAGTAATGACAATTTTCTATTAAAATTGTTTGAATGACCACGTTTTCACAGTGTGCATAAATATAAACAGAATGAACTGAATATGTCTGCTTTCTGCCGCTGTAAATGATTGTCATGAGACCAACCGTAGATAGCTCTGTTTTGTGCTCTTTAGCAACTCATAAGTATGGTATAGGTCTAGTTGTGGAGAAAGCGGAAAGCAAACACGTATGATCTTTTGAAAAAACAAAAATGTTATGCAAGTCGGTGGGAAGTGCCACCTACAAGTGGTTTGCCAAAACTGACTCAATTCTTAGCGCATACGCTGAAATGGCAGCAGCATCTCTTCGTCTCCTGGCTTACTCGACATCTGCACCCACGATGCAAACGCGCTCAACCATCAGGTTGGCATGCAAGATAAAAGAAATAGATACCTGCATAATTAAAAATGTGACTGCCATTAGGGATGTGTTGTAAAGCCCCATACCGATAGTGAATCTACAGACATGGATTGATCAAGCATTCGAAATTCAGTAGCCCCCATCTGACATGTAGATAAGTGACACACTACCCACGCACCGCGCTTCATCAGCTGCAGACTTAATAACTACCAAGTAATCTTGGAATTCTTGGATTACGTAATTTTTTTTAATCACGTTACCTTTCACCTCTTTGTGGAATCTTCTGGAAGTAATGTATTCCGAAAACTGGAAAGAGACAATGGATATTTTTGCTTACTTTGTGAAGGGCTTCCGATTTTGGGTGGAGCCAATTATTATGCTAATATAATGGAATAAATTACTTGACGACAAACAAGCCTGTCTCATACCGATAGGTGATTAAAATTACCGGGGTAGGAAGCCTATAAATATACTGCTGCCAATGAGATATACCGCCTCCCAGTCCCTATAGTCCCCAGCACCCTACAGAGAATTTTCTGAAAATGACCAGGAGCCTCAATTACGTCAAAGTTTGAATGATTTTTATTCTTGTCGTGTTTTTCCCCTAGCTCCGCCGCCACTGGACCGATTTTTTAAAGCCACGGAGCTTTCTCGTCTTTGGCATAGTAATAACCTTGTGAGAAAATTTCATCCCAATCCGAGCAATACTTTCCAAGTTATAGGCGGACCAAAGATTAGAGGACAGACCGACAGACAGATCGACGGAAATGATCGTGATGTACATGTCATATAACATCCAAAAACATGATATCTCATTTTCGAAATTTTTCGCGACTGCAATACTTCCTCGCCAGTAGGCGAGTGGAGAAAGTTGGTGAATTTAGTCAAGAACATGAATGTGAATATTAAATGTATTATTTTTATTACTGGTGAAGCTCTAGACTAGCAAATACTTCATCACCGTTATACCCAAAATAACTGAAGTATCCCCTATAGTGAACACGCATGTGAAATACATAAATTATCCTGTCTAACGAACTACACAAATATCGCAGGCAGAAGAAAACTCAACTACTGATTTGTCCGTGTTTTCACAACAGCTCGCAATAGCTTGTAATTTTACGGAATGTAAGCACAAAGCCATTTTAACATTACAGCTATGGCAGTAACTTTCGGAATTGTTGGGACTTGTTTCGTTACACAAAAATGAAAATTTTTACTACAGTAGAACAACTGTTGTAAGGGCATTCGTTACCAGAATCACTGATGAAGCAATCGGTTTTCAATCGCAGATACTCCCCGAGACGGACATATTTTGAACAACCTCTGATAAAACACTCCATTACCATGTAATCATGCTTCGTAGCCTTGTTCTATGGTTATCATCCATTACTGTATGGAACGACATACTGATCGGATTGACTTACACTTTAGCAGCAATTCAGAGAAGTGCATTCTATTCTTCTTTATATGCTTTTAAAACCTTAGAAATATAATTGTTGCTATTTTTGACTGAATAATTTTTTAGAACATCTAGTTCTTCAAAATATTGGAATAGATTATATAATCATAATCTTTAAAATGCCAGAACCTAGCAGTCATGTTTCTTTACACCAGTTCTAGGGGCTCATAGGACCACAGGATTGTTCAAATTTGGTGCTAGCAAAAGCTTAAAAATATATCCTCACTCATCCAAAAAAATTTGGCGAGCTCAAAATATATTAATCTTCAGAAATATCTTCCTTTGCTTATGTCATGGAAAACTAGAAACAAAGGTTTTCATATTCTCTTTGAGTCTATAAAATAGAATGAGTGTAAATTCTGTCTACCAAGCTGAAGATAATCTTTCTGATAGAGGCTTGCTGAAATGACCATAGCTTAAGAACTTGAAAAAAATGGAAAAGAAGGTTCATGCAGCTTAAACAACTCAACTTAAGGCTTAATCCTAAAAGCTAAGTACACTCTTAAATAAGTCATGAAAACTGTCTAAATCTCGTGTTTCTGTATCAATGATCAGATGAAAAATTTTCATAAAAAATAAATTACCCCGTGAAAGGAATAATATATGTCATATCAACCTTTCATATAAATGCAGGCAGATGGCAGAAAAATGTTCATCGTCATAAGCACAGCTTGAAACAAGGGGAAAGTTTTTTCCAACTATTTATTTCAAAGGAAGCGGTGACTGATTCGCGTCGATATGTTAATTGATAGAAAAAACATCCGGAATGAGAATCATTGGGTATAAGAACTTGAAGATATCTGTTATGCAAACTTTAAACACGACAACAAATTATCCGTTTACAGTGTGATATGAGTAACTCACTCCTAGGTGAAGACGCAGTTCAAAACATTGACTAGTACGTATATGTGAGAGGCTAACTAGTCGGAAACTGGCTCTGTCAAAGAAAGATATATTCGCAGTGGACAAGTGAAAACGGAACATGGCCCATTTCTCATAAAATGCATTCGAAAAAAAATCAATCGTCGATTTCTACTCCAATGGGAAATATTTTGCACATATTATCAATCTTGTCTCTTTCACCCCCTCGGCGAGCTGAAATCCAACTTATAAATATTAAATGCGAACAGGGGTCAAGAGACACCTCGTTTGAAAAGTCATGGATTTCTCTTTGCAGTGCCTCCAACTTGTTGAAATTTGACGCATTAGTTTCCCAGATAAAAACGTTATAAAAAACCGGGCAATAAAGGAACGTAATTCGTCTTTTTACTTTTTATACTAATTTATGAATGTGCAGCTAGCCTGATTTTAATTTAATTATTCACTTTCTGGTTTATTTACAATTCACTCTTAAATTCGATGCTGGCATTAAAAAACTAAACACAGTTTTGTCACTTTCTTTAAAAGTATTCTAGATATATAATACTAAAGAATGGCCAAGTCCAGATGAGCACACCAACTGAAGGTACCTGATTAAACACGTAGCCAAATTTAGAGAGATAGGACCGGCGGAAAATCGACTAAAGGATCCTCCAAATGAAGTAATTGGAAATGAAGCTATGGAACTTGCTGTGTTGGGTCACATCAGTGTCGATCCTAAGTTAAGTACCTCGGAATCATCTACAGTTTCTGTTATAAGTCGTACCAGTATTTGGAGAATTCTGCAATTCGACCGAGACGGCTTTGAGCAAAATCTTACTGTATGGAAGTAGAAGGCCAACATTTTGAACACATGTTAAAGTAAAAATTTAGTATATAAGGTAGTAAGCAAATATCCTTATTCCTGCTTTTTACAGTCAAAAACTTAATAAAAAATAACTTCCTTCATATTAACTTGATCTTAATTTAAAAACATCTTTTTTCGAATTCCGCTTTATCAAATTACAGAAAGTGCAAAGCATTGAAATCGGTGGCCCTTTCAAATAAGGTATTGCTTGACCTCTGATCCCATTTAAGATATAAGGGTTGGATTTCACCATGCCGAGGCGTGGAAAGATTGATAATAGGCACAAAAAAATTCTTCCTCGAATTAAAAATGGACGGGTCCGAGCGCATTTTTCCAGAAAAGCACAAAACAGCATGTTTAAGTGAGACCCTCGGTGAAAAAAATTAGTTACGGTCATGTATAACAGGGAAGTTAAACGGATTAGGTCCGTCAAACATGTCCATGCAATTAGCCTGTTGACATTATTGCCCTGCCTTACCCGTAGTACCGTCCATCTTCCCACGTCGTCTGTCCCCAACACCTGACCGCATGACACATCAGACGCGGCAGCGCGACAAGGCGCCAGTCATGCAAGGACACTTACGAAGACCGGTACGCCTGCCGGTGAAGCCAGCCAGAGAGCAGACATGAACGCGCGTCTAAAGCATTTCTCCGCCATTCTAACTTTTAAGGGCAAATGTACGGGGAAATTTATGAGTGCTTAGAATAACCGAGGTGGGAAGTATATTAATTGGATACACTTACCTTCAATTGCATTCAGCAGACAAGAGTTAGCGCTTCGTGAAATATGGATTAGCCTAGTCTGTCAGTTGTCATCTGAACGGATCGCTTTCAAAACTTTCAAACCTTCCGATTGACTGACAAGACTTACATATGTGAAGCAGGTTTCGCTGAGCTTTACAGATGAACCCAGATTATCCGAATCGCGATTATCCGAGATCCGCTTTATCTGAAACAGTTCGCATGCAATAATTTCTCCGTTTTAACCGAATCTCGGGAAATCGGCGCATGATCCGAAATAGCCGCCGGTAGTTCCCCTTTCGGCGTTTGCGTCATTAGATTCGCTGCCGGTGATTCCCCAAGCGCGTTTGCGGAATTCACTGGTATGTGTACGTATATGTTTGTTTCAGTCAGGTTCATAATCGCTAAGATAGAGCAGCATAGAAATAAACGTAAACGCGTTGTTATCACCATAGAACATAAACTTGAGGCAATCAGACGTTTAGATAGAGGTGATTTGCTTAAAAACGTGGCAAGTAATTTGGGTGTGGGCGTGAGTACCATTTCAGAATTGAAAATTGAAAAGTGGTCTAGTATTCTGACATCATCGCAGCCGTCACGGAAAACTATAAAGGGGGAATATCAAAAAGTGGATGATGCTTTATATCTGTGGTTTACACACAATCGAGAACGTGGAATACCGATTTCCGGACTAATTCTAAAGGAAAAGGCATTCAACTTAAATGAAGTATTGCCAGTTATTGAGGCGCCTGATAACTTTACAGCCAGTGATAGTTGGCTGCATAGATGGAAAAACGACACGATATACGAGAATTAAAAGTTTGCAGAGAAAATTTATCTGCCGATAAATCCGGTGCATTAAAATTTGGAGCAGATTTTAAAGAATTAATGAAGCAGTATGGTTTGAATCCAGAACAAATTTACAACTGCGACGAAATGGGCCTAAACTATAAAATGTTACCGGCGAAAAGTTCTAACTTCAAAACAAGAATCTGGAGCTCCTGGTTACAAACCCAGTAAAGAACGTGTGACTATCCTTGCCTGTAGCAATGCTTCCGGTACACACAAACTTCCTTTGTTGTTATTCGGAAAATCAGCCAAACCAAGAGTATTTAAATACGTCCGTCCCAACGCTCTTCCAGTGTGGTATAAAAATAAAAAAAGCCGCTCTGTTTAAGGACTGGTTTTACAATCATTTTGTACCCAAGACAGAACGATATTTAAATGAACGCGGATATCCGATAAAACGTATTTTGTTATTAGACAATGCTCCGAGCCACCCAAGTGAGGAGTAACTTAAAAGTGGAGAAATACGAGTGATGTTTTTGCCTCCTAATGTAACGTCTCTGATACAGCCAATGGATCAAGGAGGTTTGG